AAGTGAATGCGCGAATCTCCAACGCCCGGAATGCGTTTCTACAGCTGAGGAGCGTTCTATGGAGCAAGAGAGAAATCAGTCTCAGGACTAAAATTCGGGTCTACCAAGCTTCCATACGACCCGTTCTCCTGTATGGCTGTGAAACCTGGCCTCTTCGCGCGGAAGATTTACGCAGACTCGAGGTAGTAGACCATTGGTGCCTCAGGTACATTCTGCATGTTCGTTGGCAGGACAAACTCTCCAACGAAGAAGTGCGTCGTCGTTGCTACAACATCAACCAAATTCCAGTACTGGTCCAACAACGCCGCCTTCGGTGGTTTGGCCATGTTCTGCGCCGACCAGATGACGATCTGGTCAAATCAGTTCTAAATCCCTCGCCATTACCATCTTGGCGATGTCGCAGGGGTGGACAGCTGAAGACATGGCTTGGTACAGTCAAGGCTGATATGGAGTGCCTGGGGCTACAAACCGTCTACGGACTCCGTATGTGGAACAAGAATTGGATAACCCTGTCGCAAAACCTTGCATCAGATCGCCGCGCCTGGGCAGCGATGATTCGAGACGTTCATGAAGCCGGCTCATCCTCCCGTAGGAGATAGCCGAAGTAAAGTAAGTAAGTTGTCTTCAAGGCTTCTGCAAATCAATGGGCGACTGGAGAACCCTTCTCTTAACATTGCTGCGGAGAATGTTCCCTCCAAAGATGCTGAAATTCTTCTCTTGATGATATCACAAGCTGTCTTCCCTGAAATCCAGATTCATTTGAAGCATCTCTTTTGAAACAAGTAATGTTTCCTCTGGACCTTTGGTATGATATTCTTGTTGAAGAATCTTGGCGGGTATTCATTTTGGACGGAGGTTTCTTTCAGAGGATCCAGTTCTGCTTCCAGGACGTCAGGATTGCAGATGCGTCGGATCCGAGGGACAAGGGATTTAATCAGATTTTGTTTCCTCTAATTAGGCAACCAACTGCAGAGATTTGTTAGTTGACAGCTCCAAGTGGGTTTTTATATGGATTGACCTTCTTAAGGTTCCGTCAGGTCATCTTATTTCCACATCAAGAAAGAATTTTGGATTCGCATTCCATTTCTTGAGTGAATTTTATCGCTGGATGGCAGCTGTTGAATATTTTTAGCAACTGATTTTGGTCGTGACTGCTGTCGCAAACCATGAAAATGTCATCTACGTATCGTTTATGCAATTGCAAATTGTCAATAGACGACTTGAGTGGGCCGTTCTCAAGGCTAGCCATTAAGCAGTCTCCTACTAGTGAACTCAAGGGAGATCCTATTGCAATACCGTCTTTTTGTCTGTAGATGGTGTCATTGAAAGTAAATTGTATTTCGAGAGTGCACCTCAGTAACAGTTCATTCAGACATGTTGGTATTTCAATGTTGAGCTGGTTGTCATCTATCTATTTACATATAAAACAGACAGTTTCTGTAAGTGGGACATTGATGAACAGTGATACAATGTCGAAAGACAGCATACTTTTGTTAGTAACATTCATATCTTGGATGCAGTCGACAAATTGGAAGGTATCACGAAGCGAGTATATACATTGATGTTCTAGAATGCCAGCCAGCCATTTTGCAGCAGAATAATAAGGGAAACCTGACATATCTAGAATTGAATGTAGTGGATGACCAACTTTGTGTATTTTCGGTACACCTTAGAGCCTTGATAATATTGCACATGTCAGCTGGATTCGACCATAGAGATCTCAGCTAATTAACTGATTAGTTCTCATTCTTTCCAAGGCGTCTGTAGGTTTTTTCCGATCAGTTCGGTTTTGTTTCTTTCGGTAGGAGGTCGAGATGACGAGAATAAATTTTCTCAGCTCCCCAACGAAAGAAACAGTTCGAGCATCATTATCAGTTATCCAGAAAAACGGTGCTACCATCCTACATTTTTATGCTCACTTCCTCCGTCAGTTAAAGATGCACTGGCATTTTCCCGCTGCAGTGATCTCTCCTCGAATCAGAGAGTCTTCTGGACCCTAACAGAGAATAAATCTATTTGACTTCTTTTGTTTGGGCTTTGAAGTTTTAGTAGGTATGGGATTGTTTTTCACGCAGCTATTTCTCTAGTCCTACACCGAATTTCTCCTCTTTTCCCAGCTTGAGATTGGCTAGTAGACTTGGCAAGGTTAACTTCATACAATTACTAGTTGATTTTACTCGCTGCTGCTTAGTTGAGGTTACACACCGAGATGGTAGGAAGAGTTACATTCTCACAACACATAGAAAATTTGTATGTCAACAATAATGCGGCGACTAGTACATAACGCCTAAATTTGTGATCCATTAGTTTATGAAGACAAAATCAGTTGATTAGCTGTTCACTCAACTATTTAGATAGATAGTCACAGACTGACTCTAACTGGTTCAGTTTCAGTCTAGATGTCAGTCCCCAGGAAGTTAGGGAAATTCGTTTGGAGCAATGAAAGTTAGTAGTGTCCATCAAAAATGGATACTGGTACCATTAGTCAACTTTATAATAGACGTACTGACGGACTTAACTCTAACCAACTTCAATTTCTCAAGTATTGACTTAATGTCAGAGGGAAGTTTCGTTGCTCTGAAGTAATGTGGTTATATAATCTTAAGCAAATGTAAAGTATTCTAAAAATCTTAGGCGAAACGATTGGGGTGAGATTCTCTTTTATCAAACAAAAAGACTTCGATTTTAAGGACAGGGAAAGAAATAGTTGATTTGTTGACTACTTCACTGGATTTGTAATTCGCATCACCCCTAATGGATTGATTGCTGTGAAAATCTTCGCACGAATACAAAGCCAGTGAAAGTTTTCGTTAGCGAAAATCAACCTATGATGTTTCGAAGTTGAATGTATAAAGATGATTAGAACACGCGTTACTCATGTCATCCTCAGCGAGCAGTGTCAGTTTAAGTAGATTCAGGCTAGGAAAGTGGTACGTTTGGTCAGATAGAAACATATTATCCGTATACGCAATATGTGATTATTGTGTCCACTTTCATTGGTGTAAGCCTCTTCGTGATGTCTTAGGGATGCTGCGCATCAAAAGTTGGAAAATGATGGTGTTTTTTTCTCGAAGCTATTCTCAATCCCACTGAGGTATCCACTCCTAGTTATTATCCAGGTTCTGAAAATCCTAATTACTTTTCTTATTTAACTGAATTTAAGATTTTCCCGTCGATTGATTGGACCGAAGTGCTCGGTCTCAGGTTGATATGTCGGCTTCTTGTACAGATACTTCGACGATGTCTGGGCATGTAATTAGAGGTTATTTTGGTAGATAGTGAATTCCACCACTAGCCACCATGCACCAAATTAACCTCTAATTACATGCCCAGACATCGTCGAAGTGTCTGCACAAGAAGCCGACATATCAACCTGAGACCGAGCACTTCGGTTCAATCAATCGACGTGAAAATCTAAAATTCAATTAAACAATTAGTATGACCCGTTGCACAAGAGGTGGCTCTCGTGGCCCAAGTGGTCTAGCGGATAACGCTTTGGCGTTTAAAAAAACTATGGGCCTCGGTGGGAACATCATCACTCACTGGGAAATGCAGGTACATCCAGTGACGAGTCCCAAATAGGACGAAATGCGCATCCTGGATTCCACTGCTGCCCCCACCATCCATAAAATTAACCTCTAATTACTTTTTACCTAATTATTCTTGTTCCCATACATTTTCGTCCATTTTGGTTCCGTCATGTCTATGTGCTTCAGAGTGTGATAACTTGAACTGACACGCTTTTGTACAGTTCTACGTGTTGATGAATCAGTTAGTCATCAGTCTTAAATTCCTAAAAATACTGTACCTCCTTCTATAATGTCAAATAAATTGATATACTATGTGGTAATACTACAGTGTACAGGTTCTCTTAAAGTAAACCTAAATTTACGCGGATTTTCTCTTAGAAATCAACCTGTTCCGCATAGTCAAAAGTAAATCGCATTATAGTGAGTGTATGTTTTAATGCTATATCTTAGTTTTATGCATCAAGAAGTCAACCATCCATGGTTTTCACCAATCGAAAATTTCCATTTATTACCCCGAAGGGACCTTATTTAGGTTTCGACCTACTTAACTCGGTGCTGAAGTTAACACAGCGTAAATCAATACTTCTAGTTAAGTGAGTAGTGGTCAGTATAAAAATATTGCAGAGCAATATGATATTGCTCAACTCAAATGACTATATTTTCTACAGTGTCAACACTTTTAAGGGGATAAATCTAGATTTCTAGCCAATTCGCTTGAATACAACTAATTTTTCCTAAATCTATTAATGCTGTATTACTTTCTTCACACCTAGTGTGATCGACTGGTGTACGTGATTTCAGGCACAGTTGTTAGAGCTCATCAGCTTCATCCTTTCATATAATATTAACACCTGACTTAGTCGTACACAGACTTACCGTAGATTTTCTTGATCAGGTTTTTATAACTCCTTATGTACAGTCTTTAACGACTGTGTATTAGTAGCCTACTTATCAATTAGTAGATATTATTGTATTTTACAAGCTACATGGATTTTGTAAACTGGTGATATTAAACCATTCCTTGAAAATCGTCTCCACTTTTTATCAGAATGTAAGTGTCTATGTTCCATACAGCTCTGAGGTAATATAAAATTATCAATACACTTAACCAATTTAACTCTATTTTAAGTACTAAGCACCACTGCAAAATAGTTTAGGACCGTTATATTGTCCGTAACATACACGCGACAAGGCTTTGCAAAATTCATTAAATAAAGTTCATGCCTAAACCTAACTTATATCTGTGTAGTTCGCTACTGACATGATGTCTGAATAAACGGAATGTGTCTTTAATTTATGAATATAAGCAGAAAATCGTATACCATTCACCAAATTTTTAAGTATGAGTTCAAATAACTGGTCAACAGAAGAATAGATACACTTCAATAGGAATGTAGCTAGTGTTTTTTGAATGGATGAAAAAAAAATCTGATCAATTTCTTTTGAACTTATAATGACTTCTGAACTCATTCAGTTGTCAAGAAGTGTTGAAGATGGAGGACATGTGCAAACCAAATTTTGATCACCATATGCATCATCTAGGCGACTTACACTTGGCCATAATTTCGACAGCTTATTTATCGATCCATTCTTCATATTTTGCCATGGAGCTGGGAATGCTGCCTCTTGGCGCGTGTATGGTCTATCCCATTTTGAATTGATGACTACCTGTGTATTTTAAAATAACGGATAAGATATCATGCGGGTAAATTACCAAGCAGTAGCTACGTGTAAATTTTCGTTTACAATAACAGTCAATTGCTTTAAATTAAACAATTAAGTGGTTTGAACTATTTCAACGTTAAGTGTAGCGAATTAAGGGAATTCTGTAGCAAGATTCAGGTATTAATTCGAATCGTACCACACTTTTGTATTTCATGAGAAACAAGTTAAATACATTTTGTCTTTAATATCAGTAAAAAGTTTGAGCATTGTGGATTAGATCAAATAAAGTATAATTATATTTCAATAGTTTACACACAATGATAAGTTTTGTTATTGGTGATCATTATGTGTAAACTATTGAAATATAATTATACTTTACATTTTGTCTTTCTCTATGCAAACAGACAGGATCGATTAGAAATAGTTGATTATGGTGTGTTGACAGAAATGTTTGGTCAGATTTACTCTTCTGAATAGTCTCTGTGTAGATCCTATGGGGAAATTGCATAATAGGTACTTGAGCATGAAGAAATTCTTTTTGAAATAAAGTTATTGAAAGAACACACTTTTAGTAATACACACATACTTACTTCCATTGTGTGCGGAGCCATTTTTAACGGATTACATTCTATATCCCATTCTCCTTTAACCACTTTATCGATCTCTTTTCTTATTGATATAAGGGAATCACATAGACGATCACATTCTAAGCGTGATTCACTTTCCGTTGGTTCAATCATTAAACTTGATGTCACGGGCCATGACATAGTAGGACTATGAAAACCTTTATACATAAGTAATTTGAAGAGTAACAATAAGTGGAATGTAAGTGAGGATAACATATTATAACTACTGTCGGTCTCAATATTGATTTCGCTGGGCTATTATATTACTACTGTAACAATAGAAGGCAAGACACGGAAGCCAAAGTGTGTTTTTCATTAATCAAACCGCTGCTCATATATCTACACTTTATCTTCCTTAACCTATCACTGAGCGTGTGATTTCGGTTTAAATCAAACGACAAGAAGTAGAATGTTCAAACATACATAGTATTCTGTTGCCAATCCAGTAATGAACTGTGGAAATAACATTCAAATAGATACATCGTATTCTGTTGTTAGTGCCAAATCGAACTGAGGCAACATGGGAGAAAAACATTCCGTTGGCACACATTGTCTGTATCACACTCCCACACTATCACTGTTTCAGATTATGTTAGTTTTTGTCAACTAGGCATTTTCTTAACGAGGTTCATACCATTGTGACGAGCAATACTTTCAGACAAATTTCCATACTATTAAGCACACCATTCGCTGCATTGTAAAGACATTAAATCCTCTGTTATGCCATGAAAAGTTTTGAATACATGCTCCCGATCAATGCTAATTTAGTGACAACTGGTTTGACAGAGATGAAATATATCATTTCTTGAAATTCAAACATTATATCTTGGTATATTATAAATTTAACTTATCAAACAATTGAGCTGTGACACATCGAAACAGACAAGCTTACTTAAAAGCACCTAAATAGTTATGAGTTTTCTATCTATTAAATGACAATAGTTGTTGAACGACTTATGAGGATATTGTGAAGGGGCTCAATACATTGATACCGTTAACTCTTATGAAATGTTTAGTAATAAAGTCTGACAATACAAACACATGTTAATATATGTGTAAAACTTGGGCACTGTGGTATTAAGTAATTCCATATTAGTTTGATTATTAAATGTATCACACAGTGAAACAGTATTGTATACTGGATGACGTTTCGAACACAATTTATTGTTCATAATCATATCAATTTTTGTCACACGACTTCGAGATTTGATTTTTATAGTTTTCTCTGTCTTTTAAAATCTAATGTCACAGTTTTAAAATCTAATGTCACAGGGTATAGGGAGAGATTGATAACAGAAGCTTTGTTTATCGAATCAACCGCAAATACATGTAATAGGAATGATTCAACACCTGTCCCAGATATATGGAAAATTCTACTGCCCATACAACAAATAGGAGAAGACAGAGAAAACTATAAAAATCAAATCTCGAAGTCGTGTGACAAAAATTGATATGATTATGAACAATAAATTGTGTTCGAAACGTCATCCAGTATACAATACTGTTTCACTGTGTGATACATTTAATAATCAAACTAATATGGAATACAAACACATGTTCGGCACGTGTCAGCTAGTGACACAAAAATATCTGGTAACTGATAAGTAGGTAACCTCGCCTGGTTTAAAAGTTTCATAATCTGCCGACTAGTTCTCAGACAAGAAAGAGCGTGAAGGTTGGAGGTGTGTCTGAAGACCATATCCCGAAAAATCGATTACGTCCCTAGCGAGATATTAAAGCACAGGAAAATATGGAAATTAACTTATCATTTGTTGGAATCGAGAGGGAGGAGGAGTGACGCCGGCTGGTGGGAGCATCCATGAAGCCACTAGACTGATGTGCCTTCTCTCTCCGTAAAAGAAAAAGTAGGCATTGGGACACGAACTGTCAGAGTCATGTTTCCAGCTGACTGGTGATTATGTTCAAGAGAAATGGGATGTAGTATAGAAATGTAAGGAATTTGTGAAATCAGAGGGAAGGGAAGTGGACTCTGCAAATTGTCAACAGGACAGTCAGTTATCTACTCTGGTCATCCACACGACAACCACCAGCACGCTGGCAGCGCAAATTCTATGATGTCACCAACAGTATCAAAGACACTTATAAGGGGGGAACCAGTCTCCTCCATGATCACGATAACAAGATCAATGCCATACACCTACAAACAACGCAGACGAAGTGAAGTAGGAGGGCTTCTACAAACAGCCGACTGCAAGTAGTAATGGACAGGATCTCAGTGAGATGGCGAGCAGAGAACACAGGAAGTGAACTCAACATGGGTGAAGAGGCTCTCAGTACAGTAAGCGATAAAAGAGAACTACTTGCAGACTTCTGTGCCTTGAATGACTTTGAGATTGGAGGTAGCTCGTACAAACACAAGGATATCCACGAGGTGACAGACACACCAGAATCAGACTTCATCTTAGTCTGAAGAAAGTTGAGACGCAGACTACTAGAGACAAGATTGATAAGAGTAGCAGGAGTAGGCTCAGATCATTATCTACTTCAGTGGCTTTGAAGATCACGTTGATAGCCTTCAGAGAAGCTGGAAATTGACCGCATCTGAAATTCTACACTCAGAAACGCAAAACTGGTGCTACGAATGACAAACTAACTCCACTACTACAGATGGCGTGGCCGTATTGGAAGGTACCCGGCGGTTGGATTGAGTGCATCAAATTGCAACAGTAAACATCAACAGAGCCTTGAGCGGCTGTCCAATTTCTACCCCAGGTCCATCGACTTCGAAAATGTCTTCGACAGAGTCGACAATAAAGTTATTTGGATGTGCTTCAACACCACGGGAGTGTAGTTCTTCAAACATTTATTGAGCTCATTCAACGGCCATATGATTGTGACATACGAAGTGATTCACAAATGAGGGTTCACCGTTGCGTTTGAAGTGAAGACGGTAGTAATAAAAGGCTTATTAATGTCAACAATGATCCTCTTGATTGTGGTGGACTGTTAGGAGTGAGAGGACTTGCAAAAGTTGTACCGACCCCCAAAGATCTTGATTTCACAGATAATCTATATCGTACGTCGTACAAACTCGAAGATAGACGGATTATAAGTATGTGTCTGTCAGATTTTGAAAGATTGAACGTTTGATATGATAATATAGAAATAAAATAATCAGTTTAGTGATTTATACCTACCGTAGTCCATTAATCGCTTTGCAATATCTATTACCTCGATATGTTGGTCAGAGAATTGTGAACAATCGATTATAAATTCATGTGCACACATTCCAGCATCGTTAACATAACGTATGTTATAGTAATCTTGAAGACGTTTTAGCATGTAGTTAGCATTTAGTAAAGCTATTTGGGATGCTCGTTTCACTCCTAAAAAAGATACAGATAATCGAAATTAATTTCAATGTAGTCTTTGTGAGTCTTATGGGAGCAAACTGGGATAAATGATTTACTCTAATCATTCAAATCTAATGTTGTGTTACTTCGATTACTGTTCGTAGCTAAAAATTAGCCTACATTCAATACTGAAGAACCGAAAACCACACCGATTTACTTTCGGTGACTTATTAGGAATATTTTACACACTGAGGCATAATAAAAACGCTGGTTTTCTTCCAGTAAGCTGAAATAAATGTGTAGATAAATCACTAGGCACACTGAACTATTTATCTGAAACTAAAGTGCATATGTTTGAAATAGCTAATCCTTAAACTTATTAGAAGAAAAAGAAAGATGGTCAGTCTATAATGTGGCATCGTGATAAGAAAGATAGATATCTTGGGCAACTTATGATTCTCTAGTAAGTTACAAAATATGATGTGACATCGTGAATGAAAAGCCATAGAATGTGGTTTGGAATAGAAACCATCGACAATTATCCTCTGTTATGGAGTGACCGATTATAAATATAAATAATTATACATAAATGCGATTGTACAGCTATGTGAATGAATTCGCCGAAAATAGTCTCTTCGCTGAACGTCTTCTCTTTTTCATATGATTATAAATATGACAAACGAGATACAACGGACGATGACGGAACGACTGGTTTTGCTTAGTAGCTGAATTCCCCTGACCCGAAGAGTCAATTTAGAAGACCCATACGTTGACGAAAGACACATGTATTACTCCAACAAGGGAAATTAACTGTCACACAAGAGTGTGTATGGAAAAGTGTCAATCAATTGTACAGTACAATAGTATAAGAAAACAACAAGCATACGTGATCCAATAAGATAGATGAGTAGTTTTTCTTACTACTAACTGGACTCTGATTAGCTGCAATGTCATATGACAAAGGTTATACATTGTTGTTTAGTTGGTTGTGAGTCATTACTGACTAAAGATCAATAGACACATAGCAAACATATCAGGTTGACAAACAAGCAGATATCATGTGACTAAATATCATCCTCAAAACGAATTCAAGAATCAGTCGTACTCCTACAAACCTGCCTAACAGGATCTCTTACTTATTGATAAACTGTTGTTGGAGAAAAGTCAGTCATTTAGAAAAGAGAAAGATTGAGCGAAGAAATATTTACTTTTCAATTAGATCCTCATCTCTGGCTCTACTCTAATATATATAGCATTTCAATTACAATACACAACAATTTACCAATCAAGTGGCGATACATTTGTTAACAATAATTAGTCGGTGTCAAAATGTTAACAAACATATCGCCACTTGATTGGTAAATTGTTGTGTATTGTAATTAAAATGCTATATATATTAGAGTAGAGCCAGAGATGAGGATCTAATTGAAAAGTAAATATTTCTTCGCTCAATCTTTCTCTTTTCTAAAAGTCAGTCAGTCGGTTTCCAAAATTGTTACTTCAAATTCAATGAAAACTGACTACCTTGAGGACCCAGTAATCGGATATATGACCATGATATTGGCAGTAAGCTTGCAGAGCCGAAGGGAGCAGAACAAACTGCATAATGACTAGATGACTTGTCGCCAATATTAATTTTATGACCAGCGTCATTCACATATGTGTGACCATAAAAATAATGTTTGGGTAGGAATGCTGCCAAATGTGACTTGACACAAACAGGTCCACAACCAGGTCCACCGCCCCCATGTGGAATGCTGAATGTTTTGTGCAGGTTTAAATGTGAAACGTCTGAACCAATGTCAGCTGGGCGACACAAACCAACCTATCGAATGTAAGTAGGGGAATAAAAATGCCTCTATTTAGTATACTTTTTGGAAATAACATAAAAATAAACGCTAATTCGAAGAATTAATTACTTTAAAAACATTTTCGATACTGGGAACCTTTTAGAAGGTAGCGGATTAGTGAGAACTAAATACTGCGTCACACTGAACTGTTACATCACAATATCGAAGAGAGTTTAAACTCTTTTCTTCTTCATTCAGCCTCGGTAATATCATAGACCTTCACACAATAAGTGTGGCTTACAGCCTGGCACATAAAATGTGATGTGTAATGGCAATCTGAGTGACCAATTTTTCTTCTCAGTCACCTTGATAATTCTTGAGGTTACTGTTTTCTTATAGAACTTCATTAAGGTGATCTCATTAAATCAGATTATAGTTAACCAATCAGATCCTTGGTGTATATTAACCGCAGGATATTTGCCATCTGCCTATATAATTTGAAGAGCCATCGGACAAGAACAATTTTAACCCCACTCAAAAAAATGTTTTAGTAGTGACGCACTAAGGATATCTTAATAAATCTTTGTTGAGCACAATATAAAATGTGCGCCTTGATTACTAAACCGGGTAGGTGCTGGACAGCCTAAATCTGTTTCACTCCTGAAAGTAATGTGTCAATTTTCAAAGAATTTTGTATTCCATAATAAACAGTCCTGATCGACGTTAGTATTCTGATATGTAACAAAAGTAGGAACTGAAATGCAGGACATCACATGAAAATGCACACTTATACTCCCTCATTTATTTATAAAGTTAACAAAGAAAATCTGTGATCAGCTACTGTGGTATGTGGCTCAGACGAATTTGTACTTTGCTTTTTTGTAGAATACTTTTTATAATTTGTACTACTGTTTATTGCTGCATTACAGCATTCTACAATTTTTGACTCATTGCTGGTCATTTCTCTGTTTCCCTTTTTAAAAAAATTATTTTCAACTTGGTATGGAGATGTTCTTTTATTCCAGCTTGACTCCACACAATATTTTTGGTACAGATATGAAATTTTCAACATGTGATATCGGCAGCCCAAATGTAGCAGGCCGACCATTGATATCAGGTGTACGTCGGGTGGGGATCGAACCCCGGGCCATGTGCATGATAGGCGAGCGTCCTAACCGCCCTGCCACCGACGCAGGGCAACTACGCAGCAATGAATGTAACATGTTGATGATACTTATCTGTTCTACTCTTTGACAAGTACTATTCACTAGGCGAATAGTTGGCAAAAAAGAGAAGCGATGATTATCAACAATAGAAACAGTAAAAAAAACTTAACATTTCAATAGACTCAAGTTGTATTCATCTTAATTCGGATTTCGAGAAGAGTAATGCTCCGAATTTCTGAATGTTCCTATATGATGGCATTACTTCAAGACTGAGTGCGAAGCTGTCTTGTAAAATAAACGGTAGATCCATGGAAAGTTCTTAGTCACTTTTAGAGTAAAATTCATGATTATTTATGCCTAAAAGCTTAGTAACCCTTCGAAATACTGTGGCATTTTGTATGGTTCATCAGGGAATTAGTTGCTTTGAGCTACTATGTGGGTTCTACTTAATCTACGATTCATTCCATCCGTATAACTTACCACTGTAAATAAACAATTTATTTTTAAGAAAAGAGTTACCTTTCTCAAGCTTACGTACCATATTTTTTTTTCCTTCACGTTCCTAATGGAACACAGAACTTCAAGCTACAGACCTGAAGTTTCTGTAGCAGGGGTGTTTATTTTTACAGGATGGGGTTGCTAGCCTCATGCCCAACCTTCCCTCTTTACCAGTCTTACTACTGCCTTAGCGAGGTAAAGGAGTGAGTCGGCCGGGGATCGAACCCCAGACCATGTGCATGGTCAGCGGGCGTCCTAACCACTGTACCACCGACGCACTTTGTGTCCCCCCCCCAAAGGAAATCTTTAGTAAAAGGCAAAAGATTTATCCGCAAATGAGGAGATACCGGAGTTATATATATATATGTACTCTTATGAATTAGGAGTATTTTGTAAATGCTGTACACATAAATCAGGGTTTTGCATTTAAATCACTAGGGCTTCTGCAGTGCCAACTATGCAGACTAATATCGTTTTCGGGAGGCTTCTTTTGACTTTGTAGATAACTTTGAATCGACTCTCATTGTATATTAAATGGTCAATGTTGATCAAGGAATGATGTAAGTGAATATATACTCTAGCCTGGCCACTCAATTCATTCAAAATTTTAGAAATTTCCTATGCTTTAAAGTGGACTACCACAAACAGGGTATCATATCTGGAAAGTTTCTATATGTAATTGATTTGTACTACGAGTAAATATACTTGTGAATCAACAAGGCTGTAAAAAGAATTCTGTTGTATTTTAGACCGGCAGAAATATATGAAAGTATATTAGTGATTGAATGGTCTCACAGAGTGATCATGAAATCAGATACTTTAAAAAAAAATAGCCAATTGCCACATATTAATTAATGCTGAAGACGAAATTAATGATGTTACACCTGTTAGTAGGTAGACGATAGACAGTTTCACTGAAACTCGATGTATTTTTAACCGAATGTAAGATTTTTCCATTGAAAAATCTTTCCTACTTACTACAAGGTAACGGATTATATTGTTTATCTTAACCTGTATTACTAGAGATAAGCTATGGTAATGAAATACAACCATGTATTTTTAATTTATTGCCGTCTGCAACACTTTGATAAAGATGGATACAAATCCAGATTGTCTTAACCTACGAGTCGTTGCAGTTTATGATACAGTGATCGAGTGATACGATTCGTAATTTACGAAGATGAAATTAACTAACAGTTATGCATATATTGACGTACATATATTTTGATCTCGAATTAAAATAACTTTCACATCAACGCATTTATGAACTTCAAGGAAAGTTGTTGAAACTATTTGGGTTAGCCTCATTTTGGTAGATCACTTTTAGTTGTAATATTGGTCGTAGTTGGAGAAAGATTCACACTTGATTTACAGTGTGGCTCCAAGCAGCTTTATTTTTCATCTAATCATGATGTTTGTTTATTCAACTTTTTGACTATGTGACAAGCAATACCACTTGTATTAACTTACACTTTTGGTTGGTAAATCTTCTAATTGTAAATGATGGAGCAGCTGAAGTGGATTGTAAATACAAAATAAAATATCTAAACTTAGGCTTCTGTAAAATAATAACTGCCCCAAACATTCTTAGTAGCCAGCCAAAACTAACCAAAGATGAATATTTAAAGCAGTATTGTGAACTTCTTGACTTCGATGCTTTTGCCGGTGGAGTCGACTGCGGAAAATCAATAACTTACTACAACATACTCGTACCATTTAGAAGAGTTCTCAGCTGATTTACATACTATTCAAAGTGAACAATGTTCAAGATAAATAATAATGAAAAACTATGAATCAATAAAGTCACCTGTGCGTTTAAATTAGCACCATCCATGAAAACTTGTCCACCGGCTTCGTGAACCAAATCACACACCATTTGAACATCATTATCAAATACACCAAATGTACTTGGATAGGTAATCATAATAGCTGCTAAATTATCTCTATGCAACGAGATTTGTTCCTTTAAATGATTCATGTCCAAACAACCATTTGACATTGTCTTTACAGGTTTAACAATCATTCCAGCCATGTGTGCACTTGCAGGATTTGTTCCATGAGCCGAAGTAGGAATAAGACAGATCTGTATATAATTTTACAATAAATGGTGATAGTGTTTTTTTTTCATAATTAATTTCATAATTTCCTACAGAAATAATGATCAGGAAATGTAAGTTTTCTAGTCGAATGGTAATCACACATAGAATAAAAGAGATATTCAGTCATGCTAGGAATTAGAGGATAAACTGATCAATACCTCTTGATTTCGTACAACGATGGAGGATGGATGTGATCTGTTTGTCCTCAAAATTTAGGTAATATCCAACAACTTTTCATCTGTTTCATGAGTCTGTAGGCAAAACTCGACCTTGCGGTGGATTTGTTCTCATGAATACGAACTGGTACACTGTTTCACTGATTACTTCTTGGTCGTTTAGAACTAAAGTTAGAGAAAATGTTTCACTAAATTTTAATCTGAAATTATCATAAAGGATAATATTGTTCCCTTTGCATAGTTCTACGAAGTTGATGAGATTCTTAGCTCAGAAGAAACATCATTAGACACTGGATAAATGAAATGACTATTAGTCTAGATAATGCTGGTGTGAATACCAAGTGGCAGTCTAATATCTCTTGTCATTTATATATATATATATATATATATATATATATATATATATATATATATATAATACCTTCCAGAACAACTATAAGGAAGTCTAGCATGTGGAATTATTTTGTTTCTATTCATAAAAATAAATTGTGATCAACCTTTCAGTGAATATTTCTCGATGATATATTGCCAAAGAGAAATGCAACTAATCTCAAATGAAGTGCCTGTTCTCATTAGTGAAAATCCAATCAAGTGGATTTCAAATTTGCAGGTAATCTGTATTCAATCCACTTAACAGTTATGAAACAAATTCTCATTTAGACATAAAGAGATTAAATGAATTTGTGTTCATAGCCCACTAGGATACAGAACATGTGTACGTAAATCACCGAGTCCTCTTACTTAGGTATAATACACTTTTTACTGTGTAATTTTTTTCAGACTAATATCTTCATTTTATAGACCAGTTAGAATGGAGACTGCATTTAATAAGCTTCGTCAAACAAACAAGTTGTTAGATGTTAACTTTGAAGTAAATGAGTACGTGCAATAGACGAAATCCAAGAAGTATTTACATTATACCCAGAGAGAATTTTCTCATCAACTACAAGAAGATGAATGGAAACTATCGATAGTGGGTCGTAAAATACTGTTCTCCAAACTTGCCAAGAACCAGTCTGCAAGTAAAGGACCCAATGGCGATGATAAAGTACAACTTAAAAAGCAGGAGTTTGAAATGTTAATAACGTTATCAGAATTCAATATTAAAAAATAGTAAAAAGTAAAGAGAATGTCTCGAATTTGGGGGCTTGTAGGAATTTTGGTTAGGTTCACTGTAAATTTCTACACGAATTGACATCACCGAGAGAATCAGTGAACACTTAGAAGTTATTTCTCTCTAGTTTACGAGTCTTCAGCACATCATCGACGTCATTGCTAGGTGGCAGTTTTATATCTCGAATTGTTAAAAGTCACAACTCACGAGTCATTTATGTCTGACCTATTAACTGAAACGTCAACAGCTTCAGCTGAGGTTCTAAGTTCGATCCTCATCTGAGTCGTTGGCGCGCACTATAGAAGACTCTCAAACTACAACCTATTAGCTGCTCAGTGTTTTTTGTTTCACAATGATTGTTTAACGGATGTCGGTTCGTGACGGTGTCTAAGTCAAGACAGAAAAAGAGACTAATTTAGTAAGGTTTAGATTACGATATGGCCTTGCCGCATCTCAGTCATTGTTTCTAGACTAACTATAAACAAACAAGTAGCAAAAGTTGTGAAAAGTAGTTAGCAAGGATTGATCGTGTTTTCCAGATATTTGTTAGAGGATGAAGAGTCGTTGCTGTTAGTTTAACCAATAAATGGAAATATGATAGCACCATTTAATAACAGGTACTTATAAACAATTGGTGGATGGTGACTAGCAGTGGAATCCAGGATGCGCATTTCGTCCTATTTGGGACTCGTCAGCTGGATGTACCTGCATTTCTCAGTGAGTGATGATGTTCCCACCGAGGCTCGAACCCAGTACCCATCAAAAATATTCAATTCAATAGGTACTTATAAAATTTAAAAAAGATTTCACCTCTGAAAACTATTCACACTTTTTTGTTTTCTCTTTTCTCAACAGTATGGTTTTACAAATTCCTAGAAAGAATTGTGTCATACACTTACATTACGTTTCTGTTTGCCTTTCCTGTCCAAATATCCTCTGATCGCTTTTAGTCCAGCATATTCACCTTGTGCTCCACTATTCGGTGCAAGTGAAACATAATCATAGCCAGTAATCTCTTTTATATCATTTTCCAGTTGTGCAATCAATTCTAGGTAACCAGTTATCTGATTTTTTGGTACCAAAGGATGTAATTTATTCACTGTATCCCATGAACAAGCCTGTAATTTGATATAAAGTGAGGTAATCAGTCGTAATGGGAGTGTTAAAACAAAAACAACAATGAAATTACTGGATTGAAATAGTGTCATACGTTAGAATTAATTCATTGCTGAATAATTTGCTCCAAAAATTGTCACTGCTGTAATTTCTTAACCTTTACTTTATTACAATGCCAAGTACTCAATCTTCCGACACATTCTTTATAAGTTTTATTGAAGTTGAGAAAAATTCTATGCAATCTCTACCGATTAGTCCACAGTTTGATGGAAGTCTGGAGATTTATGCGCTACAAATGATTTTATCAACATCATCTTCCAGATATGTAGTCATAATTAAATTTATGGTTATCTGTATTTGGAAGTAGGCAGATAAATAGACACTGTCTAATACCTAAATCCGATATTATGTCGTATTTGGATCATTTAAAATGTAGTTATGTGAAACTGACTTCAATCGACTTAATGGAATATCAGTAGACTGTCGCAGGAGTAAATAAACTTATTTAAAACTAATAGTGTCCTATATTTTAGCTACTTACACTTGTTCTAGAGTGTATCTAATGTAAGTAAATTCTCAGTGAAAATAATTTATGAATTCATTTGACATCATTTAAGTTATTTGGATATTCAGCTTAACCATACGGGAAGAAACACTCTGAAGTAAGGCGAAATGGTTCCCTTGTGTCCTCCTATTTTCCTCCTGTTCCTTTGATGTATTAATTCTAGACTGGTGTTTTTTTTTTTGATTGACTGCAATTTACCATGTGAATTCACTTATGGTGTTGAATACTGAACTTTGTACAAAATGGCTTTTATTGTAATTTATTCACAAAATAATCATGAATCGCAAATAATAATATTTTGTAAATTCTGAAACCAATGACTATTGGATAATGAAAAGCAATCTAACTAACATAAAATACATCCGTCATACTTACAAGTAATTCTGTAGTACCATTTAATTTCATAGTGCAGGAACCTAAAGGTATGCAAGAATGTGCCAAAGAGAAATCTTTGTTTTCAAGTCGTTTCATGTATCGTAATAATTCAGTTTCGGAGTGAAATGAATTAAACACAGAATGTGTCAAGTAATCAGTTTTGCGAATAAGATGAGGATATGTAGTGATGGCATTGGTTGAGTGAGCCTAGAGAAACAGGATAAAAGAGAAGAATTATTAAGAGAAATAAACCCATGTCGGATAACTGTCTGGATGACCAAGGTTAAAAAATCACACAGATGAGGTGTAAGTTTCATAGAAGAAGCTCTGATAAACTGTTAGGACCCGGCATAAAATAGTATATTATCCTTTCTCACGAATCCTGTGATTTATCATATGATGGAGTTACCATGTAAATCTATCATTTCTCACGCATATTGTGATTTGGTGTGTGATCAGTTCATTGTCTTTTGTCTCACCTTGGTCTTTGTCGGACCAATAACCAACGAAAATAGCTATTTCCATTCTCATGGCTGTGAGCTGACTTTATTATGCTTAAGAAAATGTATAAACATCATGTTTTGTTTCCTAATAAATGTACAATACAATATCTTACAGTCACTGAGCAGCCTTTTCCCTTTGATATTTGCTTGACTCAGTGAATCGGAAGTTACAACGGAAAAACTGACGTTAATACATGTGTAAAACTTGGGCACTTTGGTAGTAAGTAATTCCATATTAGTTTGTTTATTAGATATATCACACAGTGAAGCAGTATTATTTGCTGGATAATACTGTTTCACTGTGTGATATATCTAATAAACAAACTAATATGGACAAACTGACGTATTGTAACAGCAGAAGGCAAGAAACGGAAGCCGACGTATATTTTCAACTGATCAAACAGCTATTTATATAGATACAGTTTTATATTCTCTAACCAACCATTGAGTGTGTAATTTTTGCTTACATTAAACGACATGAAATAGAATCTTCAAATAAATATATCGTATTCTTTCGCTAATGCTGTATTGGACTGTGGGAATATTTGAGAACTATATTCTGTTGGAACACATTATTTGTATCACACCACCAGAGTATTAACGCATCGGTCGAGTTCATTACCGTTAAAGTAATTAACAGGCACAGACATAACAAAGTAGCAACGGATTTTATTCAGTTCATTTCAATCACAACATAAACACAAATGTGTTGGTATCTATCATGAGCTGACATTGGTTAGAGAACCATTGGACAGCTGTTTCATCCTAGTTTGGGATTCCTCATCGGTACACACCCAGCGAGGTTCGAACCCAGGACTTTCTGGTTACAAGGCGAGCTCGTAGACCATTAGGCCGTTGGGACCCGATCCAGTGGCCCATGAATTCTAACTTCTGCCAATTCACGACATAGCGCGACCACTAGCCAATGTCTTCTGCGAGTATATGTCCTCACACCCGACCTTCTGCACCCTGCTGGTCACGACTTCTCACTTGAACCCCAAGTAACTACCTACCTCAATAGGGCAAGTCGCTAGTGAGCATCTCATTGATATTCAAGTGTTGGTTTGTAGGGATTTGGTTGATTGGTTACAGGATTTCATCATGAGCTGACATTGGTTAGAGAACCATTGGAAAACCTGGGAGTACTGGACAGTGTTGTTTCTCCCTAGTTTCGGACTCTTCAGCAGTACACACCCATTGGGGTTCGAACCCAGAACCCATCAAATCCCTACAAACCAACACTTGAATGTTGGTATTTAATTGGTAGAAATCAGTGGTTAGAGGCTTTAAAAGAAGATTACTTTATTCTTGAAAGTCATACGTAATTTAGCTATTTGCTACAGAAAATTTACTTAAAACTCTAGATAGCCACGTTCTGCTTTTGTTGCATACTAACAACGATGCCATCAATTATTTATGTTAGCTTACTTGCAAATATGCGGGACGGTTAACATCAGCCTGTAAGTCTGTTCATACCAAAACGCCACACTCTCGAATTGTCTTAGTAATTTCACTATAGATATTTTCCAGTATTCCAGTAGAAAATCCGTAGGCCATCCGTCATGTGACAAATAGTTATAATTACAACAAAAATACGCCTACCAGTCACAAATGTTTACGTTTTTGATACTGAAGATCTCATTAAAATTAAATAAGCCAGTAAGCTCATCACCGAAAACCCTGGGTATTATTGTGGGAAATTTGCCTTTAGCAATTCAATTTAAGAGAGGCACAAAACGAGGTGCAAACAAAAAGAATGCTGTTAGCAGGTCTGCACAACCAGTTTTCCAGTGGAGTAGACTTCAACACTGACAGTAAAAGCTGGGCTAGTTTATGTAGATATTTACTGAAATAAAAAGTATTTCAGTCAGTAACATTTTTTTTTGATTTACAGCTTGATTCCACACTGTATTTTTGGTACAAGTATGGAATTTTCAGCATGGATATCGGTAGCCCAAATTTTGCAGGCCGACCATAGATATCAGGTGTGCACCGGCGTGGGTTCGAACCCCGGACCATGTGCATGGTCGGCGAGAGTCCTAACCACTGTGCCACCGACGCACAGTTTTTTCTCTAGTAATTCACCTTAGCCTGGCAAACCATGACACCACGAGAGAAACACAGATAATGTGGTGCCAAGCCTGATTGTTATCAACGAGTTGCTTTTGGGGAAGTTGATGAAAATTCAACTTACTGCCAAGTCACTGGTGCTGACTACCACATCAGTGAAAAGCACACTGATACTTTATAAAGATTTAAAATTACAAGTTTAGGAATTTAGGTGTTCAGATTTAGTCATATGTAGCAATACAACGTAGCTACTGTGTTGGTTTTGTCACATAAATATTAAATTAAATCCAGTTATAGGGATGAAGATTACACAAAATATACAAATTTACGCTAATGAAGATCATAGAAAGCTACTTCCCCAAATAGCCTTTATCAAGGCCTCACCTGAGTACAAATTACGCGACTATCAGTAATCTCTAAGATGGTATCTGCAATAGTATTGATAAAATTTATAGAGTTGAGTTATCAACAAAATTAGGCGTGATGTTTCTTTAAAAAAACCTGTTTTAGCTTACCATTAAATAATGTCATATATATGAGTATCATGAACTGCGAAAAAGCTAACACTCTGTGCAATATTTCTTATATCAGTACTGATATCTTAGTTGTTAATTCAGAACTTTTGTGTGGGTTTTAACCTGTCTGTTTACAAACTGGCAAATCAACAATGATTGGGGCTTTTATTTGACTGAATACTTGATACCATTCGTTTTCCTTCATGTAGAGCAGATGTGTACTGATTTCAATTAATGCAACAATAAGTATGCTAGCTTACTAAAAGATACTGCATATTTTTTGCTTTACAGCATAATAACTAAATATCATTCCATATATAAAATATGTGATAAATATGATAACAACTAAGTCTTTCTATTCATTTCATTAAGACAGCTTTGCGTTCCATACAGGAAGAGAATATGAGGAAATCAGACAAATTCAAACAAACAGGGATAATTAGCTATCCTCTATACATAAAAAAGTTGTGGTCGAATGGATTGTGCGTTACACCGTGAGTGGGGGGAGTGAGTGAGAAGACAGGAATACAATGAATCGATAAGAAGACGCTAGAAGATCTAGATTCCACACATGGTATGTGTCTAATGTCACACTAACTACTCAAGGACTTACCGGCGAAAACTAACAATCTCGCTGCATAGGCTGGCAGCGAAGACAGGAATCCAGGTGAACACAGAGACGACGTGGGTGAAGAAGATAACCAACCACTACCATCACCAACGGAAGAGATTTCACAGAGGTTACTTCCTTCACTTATCCGGATAGGAAACACGATTTCAACCACAGTCAGTCGGAACGGATCAAGAGATGTCAAAGCCGACCAGCTGCAATCAGAAAGACGAGACATACCTTCATCAATCGGAAACCAGTTTGGAAATCTTCTACATTGTCTCAGTATGTAGAACGGGATTCTGATTTTCAACACAAATGTCAGTGAAGACAGTCAGTTGTTATTCTATATGGGTTAGAAACTCTCACTGGACGTCACGAATAGTACCTCCAGCACATTGCAGACGTTTGTCAACAGCTGCCACCTTCGTTGGTTGGCTGCTTACTGAAGATCAAACGGCCAACCGAGTGGCCAGAAATAATTAACAACAAAAAACTCTGGTTGGGGAAAAACTGACAGGCGAGAGCCGATTGCTCAACAAATATGTGGAATAAAATGGAGATAGATTTATCGGGCATACGTTGACGAGGCCGTCGAATGACATTGTGAGCAGTTCAAGCCATCGCTAGAGTGGAATCCGATCGGGAAACGCAACAGTGGGTTGTCCTAGAGTGATAACGGGGAGATGGTGTGACGAGATGATAGATTATGGGAAATCATCGATTCGGCTGAAGAGGATAACCGAGAGTAGAGCAAAGTGGAGATGTGTTGCTGAAGTCGTATGTCCCACTGGGAACCCAAGGGAATAATAATGAATAATAAAATAACTGGTAGTAAAGCAATATGATAACATACAATGTTTGGGCAAAAAATTAAGGTAGTAACTGCTTGATATTTTGTAAATTTAGATGTTTTTTCGGTACATGCTTATGCAACAAGATTTTCTGCATTACGAGAACTAACCTCAAATCGTAGCATAACTAAGTTTCTCTTCCATTATTTTTTCTCCTTATTCCAAGTATAGTAAGTGGAACCGACACAATTCTGTGCAAACTACAAAGATTTTTCTGTAAGTCAGTTAGTTAGTTTTTTTAAAAATTAAATTCATCAGTATCACTGGGAAAATCTTTGAATAAAATTACTTACTTTCGGTTTCACTTTAGTTGCTTTGAAAATGTATAGTAGATCATTGAAGTCATCACGTGTTACAGTTTCGTCAAGTGATATTCCAACCTAAGTGGTAAAGGTATGCTATTATACGACATAAAAGTAATTAGGCATCTTCACACTGGAAAGTTCGAGTTTAAATAATTTGGTATTTAATACGCTACAACCTAATACTATTCATAAACTTGCAATAAGAAAAAGAACAAGTAACATAGTGGGATAATGTAAGATCATTGTGTAATGCAACTGCTTCATATGGTATACAGTAGTGAGATGTATTTCATGAACAAGCACATCTGCTGTAGTGAACTGGTCACGATGTATTCGGCTTTATGGTGAAGTATGTATTACAAAGCTTAAAGATTTCATGAATTATATACCGTGTGAAGAAAAGACTGACATAACTGTTTAGTAGTGTTGAGTTTTTAGATTCCCATTGCTTAACGTCTACTGACAAAGCGTTTGTGTTAGATTTTCCTTACCTTTTCCACTTTTCATTGTCAAAGGAAGCGGAAACTTCTGCATTGTTTAAGTTCTGATATTTCTTAATAAAAATAAGTTTGATGGTGAAAATGATTCTTAATTTCAAGATTTACACTGCAGGGAAACTCCTAAAACCATACTTCTGTCATTATACATAACCATGTGGTCAATAAACTAGTCTGAAATGCATGAGTATCCTGCTGATGTCTCTTTCAAATACTTCTAAAAATACCTATGCAGCTGCAGTAGAAAAAAAATTGAAAAATCTGAAACACGGGCTTCTGTCTGTATTCCTGAGCATAGCATTCAATTGATATGATTCTACAAATCACTGAAGTACAAAATTACTGAACAGAAAAACCTCTTACCACTAGTTTAGACATTAGTACTTAAACATTGTGTTTAAAATCAACTCACCGCTTCTCCATCTAGGTAATAAAAAAGATTTATCCTTTTCTCCATTGCTCTTTTTCGTATGGACTGAAGGCTATTAGTTTTAGACGCTGGATACACCTTGATTGTATCAAATACTGCAGTCTGATTGGCGATCTGTGCTTGGTATAAACAAAAAACAGAATAGGAGAACATGACATTTAAGCTGAAGGAAAATAATGTATAGTTTCAAAGGTTGTATTTACAAGAAGAGTCAGCCCGTCAGTTTCTGTATCACCAACTGAATGTTTATAGTCCTTTTGCACTTTCCACTCAGGACTTTGATTCCAATATTACTCACATCAATGACTCAATGCTTTTTAAAGGTTATGTACACTTCAAATAAACCTCGCTTAGATTACTAGCTCGCTAGTTTTCTTGCCGGTCCCAAGCCCGAATAAAGAGGGAGGGTTGGGGCGTGGTGCTAGAAACTCCACCCCCGTAAAACAACCAAATCGCTACAAAAACTTCAACGCGCAAATATATTAAAAATTCTAAACATATAAACAATAGCTTTATTATTTTGCTATGCGCCTACAAACGTCTCAGAACAAGAGAAGAAGGAGGCTTTCTACAGACAACTACAAACAGTAATGGCGATATCGAAATCCTGATGGGCGACATGAATGCGAAGCTGGGAGGAGACAACACAGGAAGAGAACTCACCATGGGTCGTGAGGCCCTCGGTGAAATGAACGACAATGGTGAACTCTTCTCAGACTTCTGCGCCTTCAATGATTTGGTGATTGGTGGCAGTGTGTTCAAACACAAGGATATACACAAGACGACATGGATTTCACCAGATGGAAACACCAAAAACCAAATAGACTTCATCTCAATTTCAAGAAAGTGGAGACGGAGCCTACTGGACACAAGGTCAAGGAGAGGAGCAGATGTGGGTTCAGACCACTATCTAGTACAAGGGACTTTCAAGGTGAAACTAAAAGCCTCGAGGATAGCTGGGGATAGGCCACAATGCAAGTTCAACACTCAAAAACTGAAAGACACAATCACTGCAACTGTCAGAGCAAAGCAGGAAACACTACGCGACAGCACTGAAGAATCATGCGTGGAAGAACATTGGAAGTCTCTGAAGGCGATTCTCAACGAAACGTGTTCAACGGTTCTAGGAAGAAAGAAGAGACAAGACAAGGAATGGCTCTCAACGGACACTTGGAAATTAATAGAAGAGAGGAGAATGGTGAAAGAGAAAATGATTCAATGCAAGGACGGACAGGAGAAGGAGACGCTGAGCTCAACTTACAAAGCACTGGACAAAGAAGTGAAGAAGAGTGCTAGGAAGGACAAAAGACGATTCTACGACAACCTCGCCACTGAAGCTGAGAAGGCAGCAGGCAAAAGGGACCTGAGGACACTATATCAGATAACCAAATCTCTATCCGGGAAGAGACCAACACAAGCGAAACCTATAAAAGACAGCCAAGGGAACCCATTACCAAGGAAGAAAAACAGATTAAACAATGGGCGGATCACTTCAAAGGACTCTTGAACCGACCATCACCTGCAACCCGTCCAGAAATACCAACAACAGCGCGCACACAACTGCAAGTTGACACCAATCCTCCAACGAGAGCTGAAGTCTTGAACGCAATCAAGCTTCTGAAAGCTGGAAAAGCAGCCGGACCAGATGGAATACCCCCTGAAGCACTGAAAGCGGACCCAGAGACTACAGCAGACATGCTGACTCCATTATTGCAAAAGGTCTGGAAGGAGGGAAAGGTGCCTACTGACTGGAGGAAAGGTTACCTCGTGAAACTACCAAAGAAGGGCGACTTACGCCTCACTCTGCAAGAACTGGCGAGGAATCATGCTCCTATCGACGCCAAGTAAAATCCTGAGTCGCATCATCCTGGAGAGATTAAAGGACGCACTGGAGACAGAACTCCGACCAGAACAAGCTGGATTCAGGAAAGGCAAATCATGTACTGACCAAATTGCAACTCTACGCATCATCATCGAACAAAGCATGGAATGGCAATCAAACCTCTACCTCAACTTTATAGACTTTGAGAAGGCCTTCGACAGCGTTGATCGTGAAGTAATTTGGAAATTACTCGAGTACTATGGCGTACCCCAAATATTCATCAACCTTATTCAACAGCTGTACGACAACACCACATGTCAAGTGATCCACAACGGAAACTCAGCGAGGCGTTTGGAGTAAACACAGGAGTCAGACAAGGGTGCTTATTATCACCAATGATATTCCTAATTGTGGTGGACTGACTGGATTATGCGTCAGACAGTGGGAAACGAGAAGACAGGAATATCCTGGACCGACGTGAAGAACCTAGAAGACCTGGATTTCGCGCGTGGATGATTTATGTTTGATGTCACACAAAATCGAAGACTTACAAGCGAAAACCGACAAACTGGTCGAAGAAGCAGCCAGCAAAGACAGGACTCCAGGTAAATATAAACGGACGGAGGTTATGAAAATAACCAACCAACAACAACAACAGCAGCAACATCCAACGTCAATCACCATCAACGGGAGGGATTTGAAAGAGGTTACTTCATTCACTCACTTATCTAGGGAGCATTGTCTCAACTACAGGAGAGAACGGACGAGGATGTCAAATCGAGCGAGAATCGGGAAGGCGAGAAACACATTCATCAACCTGAAATCAATCTGGAAATCTTCGTCACTCAGCATCAACAACAAAATCGGTCGGATTTTCAATACAAACGTCAAGTCAGTCAGTTCTTCTATACGGATCAGAAACTTGGCGGGGGGTCACAAAGAATATTTCCAACAGCCGTTGCAGACCTTTATCAACAACTGTCTTCGTTGGCTCTATACTGAAGATCAGATGGCCAGGCCAGAAAGAATCACCAACAAGGGAAACTATGGGAACAAACAAAACAAGAACCAATCGCCAACAAATATGCAGGAGAAAGTGGAGATGGATCGGACACTCGCTGAGGAGACCGCTGGGTGACATCGCGCGTCAAGCCCTCGCTCGAGTGGAACCCGAAAGGGAAGCGGCGTGTGGGACGTCAATGCAAGGGTGACATGGAGGAGATCGTGTGAAGAGGAGTTGAAACAGTATGGACTAACATGGAGGCAGGTGAAAAGTACAGCAGAAGCAAGTGGAGACATGCAGCTGAAGCCCTATGTTCCACTAGGAACCCAAGGGAGCAATAATAATATACTAATACACTTCAGATAACCTTTAACTAGTATTACTTCAAAGTACTACACCACATACTACTCTTTTGAAGGTTTTATTCTCGTCCAGTCTCCACAAACTCTATATCAGTCTGCTTGTTATTCTAATTTACCCTAATTATTTTCAGATATCCAGAGCAATAGTAGTGACCATCACCAAACAGTGGTCCAGGGCATCTTAATTTTACACATAGTTTAAAATCGTTAACTGTCACAAATAGGCAAGTAACCAAACTTTCTGCTTTTAAATTCACTAGCGTTTACAAAAATTTCCTTAGGCGTACTTCTAAATGTGTTTAATGCAGAAGGTTAAAATAAATGTTTATCTTTAAATTTACCAGGTACAATCCTTAGCTTACCTTATATCCAGAATTTTCTAATGCTGATGCTAGACGCAAAGTGTTTCTATGGATACGTGAAGCGATTTGTTTTAATCCTTTAGGACCGTGATAAATAGCATAGAAACCGGCCATGTTTGCAAGCAGTGCTTGAGCAGTACAGATATTACTTGTGGCTTTATCTCGACGAATGTGTTGTTCTCTTGTCTGTAAGGCAAGTCTATATGCAGGCTGATCCTCCATATCCCTAGATTTGAAAGACATGAGTTTAAGAATTTGCAAACAAGTGTTTTGCTATTTTCAATCAACTCTATAAGTGTTAAAAGTGATTCATGAAGGAAAACAAACTTCGCTTAATTCATACCTCTGACCAAACTGTTAAAAGAAACTATTTTAAATTGGAGGGTCCTAAGAGACAGCGATAGGCTAGGAGGTTTACATAATTTTGAAATTACATGATAGTCAACATCACGTATAGCCCAACACATACACCGTTGTTGCTGAATGTGGAGCGTAAATCTATTGTGTTTTTTCTCTTTCACTTAACATCTACTCTATCCATTTTTCCAAAAAAGACTGTCCTTATCAAGTATTTTGGTGTGTATTGACCGTCATCTTAAGGTAAACCATCATTTCAGCAATTTTTTCACACCTTTTCATCTTGTCCTGACTGTGCTTTGTCTTTTGATACCGTATAAGTGACATTGCTTTATTAAGACGTACATCAACAAATCAAGTGGTTCATATGAAAATTGAATACTGCTCTGAGTAATTACCGAATCCTTCAACCAATGTTTAAACATATAAAGGAATGAACTGCATTGCAGAGTGCAATAAATTGTTTGATTGTGTAGTCAATTGACACCGTGCTTTCCATTCAAGTAATGTCTGTCAGTCTGTCCGTTTTCGACATATGTGCCGTAGTTCAAGTCGCCACACTCCATGTAGCACACAAACCAACAGAAGAAAGTAGAAGAAATGCATATTAGAGACAGTAAACAGAGGTGTCAGACAAAAGGATAGTAATAACGAAGAACAAAACAGTTCCATTGGAAATCATAAGTCGCAAGGAGTGGATTCATCTGCGTCAGCCATTGAGAACGATTTTGAGCCTTGTCACCAATTGTTTCCAACCATTGGATTTTACCGTCCCAATAACCCCAACCAGGAAGTCTACACCTTCCTATGTGACTGGATTAAACTAACTGTTGTAGATTTCATTGACTGGTGGAGTCATGTTTTGATTTGACCGCCGCTAGTTCTTTTCCAGCCTGACCGTGTATCAGCTAGCATTGACCGTCCGTCGAGGAAGGCGATGACTAGGCATACGTAACACATGTCTTAACCATCTCAATCGATATAATTTCACAGCCTCGCCGATTGATTTCCCCTCCTTACCTAGAACTCGACGCCTAACCACAATATTGCTCACCTTATTATACCACTTCACATAGGAGATAGAACGCAGGCACCTATGGTCAAAGACAGCTAATCTTTTCATGTCTTCCACTCTGAATGGCCAGGTCTCACAGTTGGCCATAAAGAAGGACGGAGCGGACTGATGAGCAGTACACCCGCTCTTTGGTCGATAGTCGAATATCACGGATTCAAGCAATGTGGCATTCATACATTAGTGTTAACAGGTAGACTGAAACACTAGTTTGTTTATGATCCATAGACTTGGTTTACCGATGTGGAAGAGAGACTACGACAGTTCATCTTGCACATCTGTATCTGATAGCGACACATACACCTCTTTACGAATGGGTTTCATTTATTATGTTAGCATCAGTAATGAGTGACCCACCACATCTTCAGTGTCAAGGTTTTAGACTAAAGGTTGAGAAATTATCTAGTTTTTTTCAAATTAATCTGAAGGTGTAGCTCATTAGCTTAAGCACTCGGTTTTCAGTGGATGGGTCACGGTTTCGAGTCCCGCCCAGCCTACTTCAGATCGAGCAACTATGTAGTATCATCAGGTCTCATATGATAAGTCTGGTAAGCTTGGTACATAAAATATGTGCTCTGGGTAACTGAATCGAGGCGTGTGTGTTATATAAAAACTTGACTTGGCCATTTACTCATCATCATACACTAAACTATCGTCTACTTCCTTTCCAGGAAATATCCATCAAAGAGGAAGTTCGAAATGAATTAAATAATAACTGACACCAGTTGCACAAGAGGTGGCTGTCGTGGCCCAAGTGGTTTAGTGGATAACGCCTTGGAGTTTGAAACTATGGGTATTGGGTTCGACCCTCACTAGGGACACTCTCATGCACCTGGGGATGTTTGTGTATCCAATTTACGATTCGCAAACAGGATGAAATGTGCATCCTAGATTCCATTGCTGGCTACCGTCCACCAAATTAAATATCCATTTAAATTATACGATTTATTTTGCCACTTAATTACTAATTACATCATGTACTTATCCAATAATACTCTGGATATTCATTATTTGACAAAGATATTAATCCTTGAACAAAGCAGGAAAACAGATGTACTAGGATAATATCAGCTCGGCTTTTATTATTTCGTGGATTCTTTTCAAACCTATGCAATCTGAGCGGAATAAAACTCCAGAAATAACTTTTGATATGAATAAATTACGTTGAAAATGTTTTTCTAAGTTTATATTTTTCATATTGTTCAGGCTACAACCAGTTGAAAAGAATTCACGAAATATTTGTTATCTTTGCTTTGTTCAAGTTTATTCATGAGAAGAAGTGTATGAAATATTGTTACTAATGTTCAGATATCCGAACAGGATGTGATTTACGTCCATACAATATGACGTGCAGCGAGACTTGCTTACTGCATCTTCGCTTACTGAGTGCAGAAACCTACGGTATAGTAAGCAGGTTAGTGATTAGAGTGAAGTACTTAGAGTCACTTTGGTCTAAAAATGCAACACAAGCAGCTTTTAAGGAGAACACAAACGATAAAAGATATGCTGCTCTGATGCACATATTTAATTGGCTTGTTTTAAATAATTTTTAAGGAAACTTTTGTCTAAAAATTGTTGTTGAAGTGCTCTGATTGATAGCTTTAAGGCCGATAGCTTGCTTCCTACTGCCTTATTCACCCTTAAAAAACAGATGTTTATTTGATTAGGAGTTATATCGCCTACATGTTCTGAGAAATATATCTCTGATGTCTAATATGTTTATGTTATAACTCTGTTGCCAATTTGTTATAGCTGACCTGATCTGAATTCCGTTGCTACTTTCTTATGTCTGCGCACGCTAACTACTATAACGGTAATGAACTCGGCTGGTACGCTAATATGCTTATTTGTCCGTTGCACATTCCGATTCATTGACCCACGCAAGTATCAAAAGATAAAGACTGGCCTGTGACTATAAGATATAGTATGGTTACTATACTACATTATACTCTATAGTTTAAGGAGAAAACATGTTTATACATTTTCTTAATCATAATAAAGTTGGCTCACAACCTTGAGAATGGACTGTTCTTATTGGTTGGAAATAGCTATCCTGATTGGTTGGTGATGAGACAAAGAGCAGGGTGAGACAAAAGAAGATGAATAGGTCACACACTAAATAATAATAATTTGCTTTATTCCAAAACAGACAATCACAATATGCGTGAGAAATGATAGATTAACATAGTAACTCCATCACATGATAAATCACAGGATTCGTGAGAAAGGATGATATACTATTTTATGCTGAGCCTTATCAGTTTATATTTACCGAATTGTTTGATATTATACAGAATGAACATATGCATCGAGAATAAGATACATTAGGGAAGTTAATGTCTTTTTGTTTAAACTTTGTCACATAGAAGCTTCGGTGGATAAACTAATAATTCACCAACTCTCGATTAAGAGAAAGGTTGGCTGAGTAACTTTCAAGATGTGGTTTATATACCTGTGACATTGAAAATAGTGAAAATCAAAAATTTACCGCGAAAGTCCTAAAGTTTTATGAGAAACTCAGCTTTTCTTTCTACTGGTTGCCTGACCAATAAGTGCTGTATATTGAAATTGACCACATCACAGTGCAAATAATTTAAAAAGAAATTACTCACTTAGAAAGACCAACTATTCTTCCCGGCAGTAGTCTAGTGAGTGTTTCAGTTGCTGAAATAAATGCTGCATGCGGTCCTCCAAAACCCATAGGTACTCCAAATCGCTGTGAACTGCCAATCGCTATATCAGCACCTAAACTACCCGGCGACTCAATAAGTGTTAGCACCATCAGATCTGTAGCCATGATAAGTAGAGTCTAAAATTGTTCGAATTTTACATAATTGTCATTAAAAACATAAACTGAACGTTGATTTATCAACTTAATGAGTAGATTTTATTGTCCAATGAGAATTATATACTTCGTATAAGATAAACAAAGCAACACTTAGAAAGCGAATATATGTCGATTAATTATTCCCACTAGTGTATTGTCTAAATGTTCATTGCTGTTTATTTCTATTTATTGCTACTACACAATACAAATGATTCCGAAGAATACGAATTTTTTAATTCTGTCCTCTTTGTGTCGTTTCCTGGTTTATTGGTATTTGGCAATCGTAAACTGCACTTGTAATCGTCTATTACAAAACACATTAGTTTGAGCTTTATGCTGTAGAGGTTCAAGTGTCAAAAATGGCATAAGTTTTCTCGTGTTTATGGAAGCCATATTGATGAATGGTTACCAACTTTACATATCCAATAATTAAACAAAATGTAGGTCACAGAAATGTCACGTCGTTTTGTTTGGTGATCAGATTGCACAAGTGATAAGTGAGTTCAAGTTACTCGCAAGCATAATCTTTAACAGAAATATATGAAGTTTCGATCACTGAGAGACTGTAAAGTCACCTAGAAAATAATACGTACTACAGACCAATCTTGCAATCGGTTTTAACCCGAATGTAATAAATTTCAGTGTTTTATACCTTATAAAATTACGAGTCGTCACACAACCTACATTTCCACATTTTACCTAATGTTTCCAGTTATCCATAAGTTACCAATCTTATTTACAGCAAATATGGGTAGCCAGTTGAGAGTTTGGAAGAATAAACCTAGTAAACGTTAGAAATAATGTGAAGGCTATAAAGAAACTAGTGAAATACCTGTTGTCCTACGATCGTAGCATAATATGTGATCTGATATGGTTCAGTTCGAATAAGAAAAAGTTGGAATGTATGAGAATTCTGTTCAATATTCCCACCAACGGCTTCTAAACACACCTTGGACGTAAACAACTACAAAAACTTAAAATTAATGCCGAATGTCGACATTAAACATATGTATGTGTATATCACTTGGTGTCTTTATCAATTAACATTCAGAAGCCTGTTTATCAACTTGAATCATCTTGCTATAAGTAAGACATTCATGTATAAGCGCAAAACACTAGGTCACAATAAACTCTAACCTTATTCAGTTTTGTCCATTCAGCAGTTAGCCGTATTTTCTGATCCCAGATGTCTCCTTCTGTATCTGGGTATTGTAGTAAGTAGCCGGCATACTGTCCAGTGTTAATTGTTTTCTTCACGTGATCAATATTGTTCAAAGATATCATCTCAATTTCAACTTCAATATCTCTATAACGCAAATGAATTGATCGTTAGCGATATCAACACTAGTTATCTGAGACTTTGTAGAGAATTTAGACAACACTTGCCACACATATATAATAGTTATCTAGATATAAAGTTCTGTATCTCAAGTGGACGATATAAGTGTAGTTGTGTTCTCTGAACCACATGTTGAAGACTGCGTCAAAGATATTGTGTAGAAGGACAACGAGAGTTTTGCAACTAAAATATCCAGCCCAGAGAACACAACTAGACCAATAGTAATTGTTGCATAGACTTCCTCTCATATGTCTTCCAAAACTGAACAGAAGAAGGCTAAAATCCTCTATACTGCAGCAGTTTAAATCATCTACTGTTGGGTAAACTAAATTCGTTAATCAATTATTGCATATTTTGGGACCGAACAATTAAAGCAATACTAGGGATAATGATGGAAATGATTACGTTAATTGTGGTGCGTCCATGGCACAGCGGTTAGGACGCTCGCCGACCATGCACATGGTCTGGGGTTCGATCCCCGGCCGACTCACTCCTTTACCTCGCTAAGCCAGAAATAAAAGCTGGTAAAGAGGAAAGGTTGGGCATGAGGCTGGCAACCCCATCCTGAAAAATAAACACTGCTACAGAAACTTCAAGCCACTAGCTTGTTCCACTGGGGAACGCGAAAGAAAAAAAGGGATAATCATGAGACAATCTAAAGAAATGCGAAGTGTGAAATTGGGATAAATCTACTAAGTTGGATAGCTATATCTATCTCAAAAGGTTTCTTAATAGAAGACATGGATGAGTAATCTATTTATAAACTTCTTTTGTTGTTTTTCACTTATTACTTAGTAGTATCCTTTCATCAGATATCCGTTAAAAACTAAGTCATCTTACGCCAGTCTGTCTCATGATTGTACAGTTCACTTAAAAGTACATTTGCTTCCAACCTCATCTTATATTGATCTAAGTCTTGTAGGGAGAAAAAGCTTATCAATCACGCACATGCAGACTAGAGTAGATTGAACTTCGCACGAAATCAGTCAGGTGTTTTTAAGTTAGAATTAGAGATGGAAATTAACCACGTAATCTAAAAAGTTGTAATAACACATTCACACAATACACTCAAAGTTAGTCACTCCAACTTGCTTATGTTTAAGAGAAGACTTACTTTGCTCTAGAAGTAACAACATCTATAGTTTGTAAATGACACTTCGTATCAACCAGAAACTTTCTCTTCTTCGTATGCCTATAAAAATTATTTATAGTTAAGGTTTTTAGTTTAAATGAAATTGGAAATAATTTATAGAGTAAGTGACATAACTGAGGGAGAAAAGGTCAAATGACTGAAGCAATTTTGATTCATGTAGGTGTGACAGTCAAAGAAACAGACAATAAACTTAGAGCTAAGTGTTTAGAGTGTAGCAATAATATGAAATCATTCTGAATGATGAAGTAATATTTGACTGTTCTTGTTTGCCATAATGACACTGCGACTCAGGTTTTTACTTGTAGTTATAATAATTACAGTGCTGTGTTTATCAGATGTCTGTTGAAATGAAGCAACGTCACTGATAATCAAAGACCTACGCAAACACTTCTTTCTTGTTTCAATGTAAATCAAGTAAAGGTTTCTTAAGAAATAAGATTTAAAAAGTAAACAAATTACGGAGTAACTTTTAGAGTTTATCACTATGCATTCAACGGAATTACAAAGCATGAATTACAGCATGAATCAAGCTAATATTTCACATTATCCGAATCGCTAAATTTCATCATATATTTTGAATTTCAAACAATCATTCGCACCACAAAAGTTACTTATTTTCTGCCAGTGGTGCTGGTCAGAAAGCGTAACAATACTGAATGGTCAGTCGGCCGTCCTCGTACCCAGATATCTTGGATTCAATCCCCAGTGAGAGGATGGGTGACTGCTGCTACCAAGTACCAAGCTAGGACAAAGCAGCCGTCCGAAAATGAAGGTCATGTTGCTACATGGATCCGGAAATAACTATACAAATTAAAGCAGATTTCTTATATGAAGTGAATAAATACAGGCAAAATGAGTCTACAAAGCAGTGCTTCCATGCGTTAATTATATCATATTTCTCAATTAATACTGTTACGAATTAAAAGTATTTTATCAAAGTAGACGAGCGTTTCATACAGAGAGCAGTTCCACCAGCTCTTTATGTTACAATATACTCAGATAACTACATGCCTTGGAAACAAAAGTGCTAATTAGATTCACCATAGTCGGTTATTTTCAGTTGAAGAAACAAATGGTTTTTGACTATTAGCTTGACACAAATACCTTCAGTTCTTGAAGAGTATGATGCTTACTTAACTTAATGAGCCTGAAATATTTGATAGAAACTGCTGTCGAATAAGTCGCATTTTAAACTGATGTCTTCTTAGTTCCATTTCGCTTCTGCATCCTTCCTTACCCAGTTTATCTTAATAAATAGTTTTATTTCAGATTAATATGTCGCTATGAAAGCTTCTGCAACAAGGCAGGATCAATTCTTTAATCCAGTTTAAATACATATAATTTGTCTTCGTTTACCACATTTATAGTTGGATTTCGTTTTCATCTTCAAAAATGGGAAGTTTAAGAAATATACAAATAATTTTGAGTTCACCTGACTGCTAAACACATGGCTTCTGCAGCTGCTGTGCCTTCATCTAACAGCGATGCATTAGCTCTTGGTAAACCAGTTAAATCAGATACCATTGTTTGGTAGTTGAACAGTGCTTCTAATCGACCTTGGCTTATTTCTGGTTGGTAGGGTGTATATGCCGTATACCTAAAACAGAAGTGAAACTAAATTAAAATCACATTACTGAAAAGTAGCTAATCAAAAATTTGTGTGAAGGTAATCTTTCTAATCAGTCAACTCAGAGAAAAAGACGAGAAACTCTTATTTCCAGACGTTATTCCAGTTGAATCAGCACGGAGAAGAATAAATTACCTACTGTTGTGCTGTTAAACTCATTATTGTCTTGAGCTCTTGTCCCAGTTTAGAAGAAAATCAAACTGCTTCGATGGATGAGTTAATACACAATTAGATGAGATATAGAGACACTGCTAAAGGCTAATGCGCTCCATGGGAGGGAAACGTAGACCACAAGATCTCTTTTCACTGAGTCCACATCTTACAAGTGCAGCAGGAATTACTCAACGCCGATAACCGACATATGTACAGGATTCTTAATTCCAAATGAAATTAAACAAAGCGAAACAGTCACAGTAAAAAATAATCTCAGAGGTTTCTGACACATCTGAATGGTGCAGAACTCATGCATCGCCAGTGAGTTGTTTACAGAGATGCTACTGTTCCGAATGTATTTAAGGTGTTCAACATAAATCCACTGTTTACTACTGTAAATCCCTTTGGGTTGGTCTTGTTCACCAAAAAAGAGAAACTTATTAGAAATGAGTAGGTAAACCCGAAGTGAGTACAAGTAAACGTTAAAAGCCTCATCTCTCGGTGGCACAGCGGTAGAATGCTCGCCAACCACGCAGGTGGTCTGGGGTTCGATTCCCAGCCGACGCACCCTTTTACCTCGCTAGGCCAGTAATAAGACTGGTAAAGAGGAAAGGTAAGGCGTGAGGCAAGCAATCCCATCCCGTAAAAAATAAATACCACTGCTACCGAAACTTCAAGCCGCTAGCTTGAAGCCCCATGTTTCTCCGGAAACGTAAAGGAATAAAATAATCTCGGAAAATAAAGGGGAATGACATTCCATATGTCCGTAAGTTCGATTTTATGTAATATGATAAATGATATTAACTATGAGAAGCTTTCTTTAAAACTGCATATACTTATAAGAAGAAATGACATCTTTAAAAAGCCAGAAGTCTGCTAAATAAAATGATAAATATTGACAGACAGTGACTTGCTCATCAACTTAATTTGTTTTCCAAAGTTGTAATCTCATTTTATAACTTCATTTTTATCATATTAGTTATGGAAATCAAGTGTTAACTGCAGACAATTTATTTCCGGCGTTCTATACGACAGTATACTTTGTACTGAATAATAATGATAGTGATAATAGCTTTATTACAAAACAGTACTTGCGATACAGAATGGAATTCTCAGCAATTTTACTACAGTATTGCATCCAGTTAGTAAATTAACAATAAAATAAAATTCTACATAGATTAAGGGTAATCCCAGTTAGTTTTAACAACAACATATTAGCATGTCGATAGCAAAGTCAAAATTAAACAGTGTTAAAAGGAGTTGGAAAAGTAGGTTCAAGCATGTTTACTGGCGTAAGCAGAAGAAAGAAACAAAGTAGCACATAACAGAAAAGAGAGAGAGAGAGAAAAGGAATATAAAGGAAGAGAGAAAACGTTGTACCTATAAATGATATGAGTTTGAAAGACGAGACCCAGTTGTTCTACTGACTATTTAATAAGTTAGATAAAATGGATTTTGCCCATTTTCCACATGAGTCCAAGTGCCTGTCGACCAGAATATTAACAAGCTGGTCAAGTGGCACGTTGCTTACTCTGCTGACAACCTTTAACATCCTACGTAATAAGGTATAATCTTTCTTCAGTAGCCCTGGAAAAACTAAGGGGGAACAATAGAGAATAATAGGCAGAATATGGGAGTTAACAAATTGTAGGAGTAAGGGTTGGGTTATTCCAGAATGTCTTAACTTCTTGATGTAGAAGGTAGGACTGAATATTTTCTTAGAAATAATCAAGATATGAGACGACCAGGAAAGATCATCACATAGAATAACGCCTAGGTATTTAATTTCTGACTTTGTTTCTATTTCAGTGCCATCTATGTTGCACACCTCGTGAGTGCTAACCAGTTTGTTTAGGTCAGATTTGTGCCTAAAGGTGAAACTAACTGTTAGGCATTTGGAGGGGTTTAAGGTGAGACCGTTTTCCTTGGACCATTGGCTGACTTCTGACAAAAAAGCCGTTTAGTTTAGTGCAGTCCCTTTGACATTTGACAGACAAAGATACAGTTAGGTCATCAGCATATTTGACAAAATTAATGTCATTTGAAGATGGTAGGTCATGTAGAAAGAAAGAAAAGAGAAATGGGGAAAGTACATCACCTTCGGGGACAGTGAGCACAGCAGAGGAGGATTTGCCTTTGTATACGGTATACTGTATTCTGTTTGAAAAGTAGGAATGCAACCAGTTAGTGACCCAGGACTCAGTTTGTGTCATGGAGAGCTTATTTAGCAAGAGACATCTAGGTACAGAGTCGAAAGCAGAAGTAAAGTCGAGAAACGTGCAGCGGACGTATTTGGCACCTTTATCTAATGACGAGACGATACTGTTGTGTAAGACGACTGCATCGTCTAAAGTGCTCCTACCCTGTCTGTAAGCAAATTGTTTGGGCGGTTCCTCATAATTATTCACGAGTTTCACACCTTGGTGTAATATATTTGTAAAAAAATACACACAAAAGTAATGCTGATTCCTAATTTTTATCATTTTTTGAAAAAGCATATGACATAAGACTTACTGAAAATTACTAAAAGATGTTTACCTAAATTTTCTTCAAAAGTTTCCATTTATGTCTGCGAAAACTAGTGTCTAGAATAGTCAGCGCAAATGTTTCGTATGAATAAGAGGTGAAATAAACACAGAGAAAAAAGAGTTAATATATTCTACAATTGACTGAAACTCTGCTTGTATGCACGCACGACTGGACAAATAAATATCCGTTCTGCAGCGTTGACGATGACTTGTAACTGGAAGGTTGTAGATTCGAACCCGGTGGATGTGTACTGCTAAAGGGTTCCAAACGAAGCAGCTCTCCAGTACTCCGTGGTTTTCCAGTGATCCTCTAAGTGATGTCAGAAAACGATCATATCTGTAACTCTACTGAACTCTGTTACCAGGACGTGGAGGTTGAGCGTGCATATCGCTAAACTTCAACGAGCAACACTGATTGGAAGAAGATGCATTCACTATCGGTGTACTTATTGCTGATATTTAAAAAACTACTTTGTTAATTTTCCCTTTATATGCAATCCTCAGAAAAATTTACACCCAGTTATGATACTAACAAAAGATGAAGGTGATTCGCGTGCATTGTATACATTGCATTTGTCAGCATTTTGAAATTCTGGCATAATTCACCTTTAGCTTTACTGGCAAAACTACTGTCAAAAATGACAGATCAATTTAACTAGTTATGGGTTCCTTGTTTATCATTTTTTTAAGTCACCGGAAATATGTATATAGCTATGCAAACTTATGCATATAAATGCGAATATACAGCTTTTGAGAGTGAAATCGACTAAAAGAGATCTCTGCTGTACTTCTTGTTGTTTTCTGTCTAATATTTTCTATTAGTTTGCTAAGTGAGAAATAGAAATTTTCGTTCAAACTTTGTACACACCTTGATTACACAGGTAGTTATCAGTATGGTTTCTCACTCCTGTTTGTGTTGATCAAAATATACTAGTGAAGTACGCAGTGAGATGACAAAACCGACTTATTATTATCATTATTTCCTTGGATTCCAAGCGAAACAGATAACTTCAAAAGCACATCTCCATTTTGTCCTGTTCTCTGCAGCCTTCATCCTTTCCTCTCACAATCTCCGTAATATCAACACCGGATGTCCAACTCGTTATTTCCCACTCGAGAGTCTGGTGGGTTATATCACTTAGGAGTTTCCTGAGCGTGTGTCCAATCCATCTCCATTTGTTGAGCAATAGGTTCTTGAGTGGTTTCATTTCTATTTACACCAAACTATTACACGGTATAGTGCGTAACAGTGTTTTTACTGTATAGGCTAGTAAGTTGCTTGTATGCGTAACCATGATGTAGTTTGTCTGGGCAATCGTTTGAATTTGCACAATTCACTTTTAAGTAATCATTCAAATGTTCAAGCTGAACATATATTATGGCACTAATTGACTAAATTTTGCAATTGATTTTTTGTTAGTCGCCGTCTTGAACACTCTTCAACACTGGTCCGAAGTCAGTCTAATAAAGTACAAAATGTGATCACTTTGGCTTCTTTTTAGAAATACATGGTTTAAGATTGTCTGACTGAAGCTGTTAAATTAGAAAGGAAATTTCAATGAACACAGTAAAGTCAGGTCTGCGTTATGTAAGATAACTAGCTAAAATGGTAGCGTTGAAGAGCAATGACATACCAGCCAGGATTTTCAAATATATTACGTTGTATGACAGTAGGTGTAATAGTACCATAGTATCCTTGTCCAATATACGACCGCCAGACATGATTCTTATTCATCATCAAATGCAATTTTTTAATTAACTCTGCTTCACCTTAAAAGTAAGAAATACCAGTGAAGTTATAAGAACTCTATGGACTTTATAGCAGTGGAACAATGGCAAAGTAAGCAATAACTAAATTATTTTCCAACATTTGGCCAAAATTTGTTCTATTGATACAGTGAAGGAAATACATGAAGTGGTAAGCACTGAATTCAGGACACTGATAAAATTATTCGTGCCAAGAACTATTTTGTACTAAAATAACTTGTTCGACTCTTCGCCTTTTTCAGTCTACCCGATACAAATCTGACGGCAGCATGATTGAGAAAAGCTTCTGTAATTAACTGGGGACCTGATTATTTTTCGGTTTAGTTAAGTGTTTTGCAATGGTTGATATAGTGACATTATATCTATTCTATGTTTGAACATTACAACAGATTCTACTTCTCTGCTACTAACATGTTGAAGCTGATCATTTTATTACTTATGTGGATTCATTGAGATTCTTTCGAGTTACACAATTAAGAAATATTCTTTTGACTTCAAATATTTGTCAACTTTTATAATTCCTTTATTTTAGGAGTTTCATATTTGCTAAATGGCTATAGAAGTAGGGGAGGATTGACGTTTTAAATACTCATTATGAATAATGATTCTTGTAAAGCTGCTCTGAATAGTTTTTTTTTAAGAAATTTGAAAATCAGGATCTTTTTTCATTCAACATATTCACACTTCTGAAAACTGACCTTATTTCAGGTTATTAAAACAGTGTTCACCTCTGTCAGACGAAGTAAATACCTTGAAGACCATATAACCTAATAAAGCCCTTCTGATTTATATTCCCTGAAGCAACAACGTTCATTAATATCTTTTTGACATGTCGAATGCTTTCATTACTGCTTAACTCTGTTTTTGGTTTTTTGTGCGAATTATTTACTATTATTTGCTGACATTGTATGGATAGATTTCTTCATCGAAAATCTTTTGGTTAAACTATTACACTTAGCAAAACTAAGATTATTCTAATCACCTTTAGTAACAGTTTCGGTACATTTACTTTCATTATGTCGATGTTTATCATATGAAAGATCTACACTGATTAGCATTCTAATATAACACGGAGAAAAAGTACGTGACTGATTTGATCACTTTACGAATCCCAGATATCTAGTGGGCTATGATTTTGTAGAAGTTGGCGAAATTCCAACGCGACCATCACCCGTTTAGTTTGTACTGTCTACTGTAGGAATATCAGTGCATCAGATTCTCTAATACCGTCACCTTCTGTTTACTTTAATCTTACAGTAGCATAAACATTACTGATTCACATATATGGTATTTTTTGTACATAATAAACTATCGCCTTCATTTAATTGAATTTTTTTGATTTTCCCATCGATTTATTGGACCGAAGTGCTAGGTCCCAGGTTGACATGTCGGCTTCTTGTGCAGATGCTTCGAAGATGTCTGGGCATTTAATTAGCATTTAATTGGTGGATGGTGACTAGCAGTGGAATCCGGGATGCGCATTTCGTCCTAATTGGGAATTGTCAGCTGGATGTACCTACATTTCTCAGTGAGTGATGATATTCCCACTGAGGCTCAAACCCAATGCCCATAGTTTCAAATGCTGCAGGTAAAAGAGACCTCAGGACACTATATCAGATAACCAGGTCAGTATCCGGAAAGAGATCAACTCAGATGATGAAACCAATCAAGGGAACCTGATCACCACGGAGAAGACACAAATGAAACCATGGGCTGATCACTTCAAAGAACTCTTGAATCGACCACCACCAGCAACTCACCCAGAAATACACCAACAACAACAGCACGAACAGAGCTGCCTGCCAGTGGACACCATCTTTCCAACGAGAGTAGAAATTCTAAATGCGATCAAGCTACTGAAGGCCATCCAGGAAGGCATCAGGACCAGATGGAATCCCCCAACCCCGAAGCACTGGAAACAGACCCAGAAACGGCAGCAGATGTTCTCACGCCATTAGTGAAGAAGGTTTGGAAAGGGAGAAGGGTGGCGATTAGAAGAAAGGCTACCTTGTCAAGCTACTAAAGGGCGACTAATTCATCTGCATAAACTGGCGTAGAATAATGCTCCAGTCCACGCTATGTGAAATACTGTGTCACGTCATCTTGGAGAGAATAAAAGGATGCACTGGATTCGTAACTCCACCAGCCGAAACAAACTAGGTTCAGAAAAGGCACATCATGTGCTGATCACATTTCAATTCTAAACATCACCATCCAACAAAGCATAAGCTGGCGGTCAAACTTGTACCTCAGCTTCATCGATTTCGAAAAGGCCTTTCATACCGTTGACCGAGAATTATTTTGGAAACTACTTCAACTACAACACTATAGCTTGCAATGCTGTTATGACAGAACTGACCTGATCTGAATTCCGTTGCTACTTTGTTATGTCTGCGCACGCTAACTACTATAACGGTAATGAACTCGGCTGGTACGCTAATATGCTTATTTGTCCGTTGCACATTCCGATTCATTGACCCACACAAATATCAAAAGATAAAGACTGGCCTGTGACTGTAAGATATTGTATGGTTACTATACTACATTATACTCTATAGTTTAAGGAGAAAACATGGTGTTTATACATTTTCTTAACCATAATAAAGCTGGCTTACAGCCGTGAAAAAGGAAATAGCTACTCTTATTGGTTGGCGATCCGACAGAGACCAAGATGAACTGATCACACACTAAATCACATAGTAACTCTTTCACATGATAAATCCGACGATTCGTGAGAAAGGATGATATACTATATCATGCTGGGTCTTATCAAATGCCCAAGTCTTTATCAACCTCATTCAGTAGTGGATTTTATATGACAATGCCATGTGTCAGGTGATTCACAACGGAAAACTCAGAGATACCTTTTAAGTGAAGACAGGAGTAAGAGAAGGCTGACTTAAATCAACCAGTGATACTCCTAATTATAGTGGACTAGGTCATGTTTGAGGATGTGCGTTGGGAGTAGGAACACAGGCACAAGTTGGAACAATGAAAAAATCTAGAGTAACCAGGAGGTCCTGGGTTCGAATCCCAGTGTGTGCGTACTGACGAGGAGTCCCACTCTAGGACGAAACAGCTTTCCAGTACTCCCAGGTTTTCAGATGGTTCTCTAACTAATGCCATCTCATGATGAAATCCTGTGACCAATCAGCCAGATTCATACAAACCAATACTTGAATATCTCAATTCTGCAGATGATATATGTCTAATGTCACACGAAGACTTATAGGCGGAAACCAACAAACTGGCTGAAGAGACTGGCAGCGAAGACAGGATAACATGTGAACACAGAGACGACGTGGGTGATGACGATAACTAACCAACAGCAAAAGAATTATAAATTATCTAAAATAATCCCAGTGTGTTTAAGAAAAAAATCAAAACAAGATTTTTCTGAACGTTTCGTTGTGTAACGCACAGCTTCTTCAGTAAAATTATTCGGATTTTATCAATCATCAAAAAATATAGTCAGCAACAGCAACAACCATCTCTAATCCCCGTCAACGGGAGAAATTTGACAGAGGTTACTTCCTTCACTTACCCGGCTAGGAAACACGATTTCAACCACAGTCAGTCAGAACGGATCAAGATGTCAAAGCTGGCCAGCTGCAATCAGAAAGACGAGACACACCTTCATCAATCTGAAACCAGTTTGGAAATCTTCTACATTGTCTCAGTATGCAGAACGGGATTCTGATTTTCAACACAAATGTCAGTGAAGACAGTCAGTTGTTATTTTACATGGGTTAGAAACTCTCACTGGACGTCACGAAAAGTACCTCCAGCACAATGCAGACGTTTGTCAACAGCTGCCACCTTCGTTGGTTGGCTCCTTACTGAAGATCAAATGGCTAACCGAATGGCCAGAAATAATTAACAACAAAAATCTCTGGCTGGGAAAAAACTGACAGGCGAGAACCGATTGCTCAACAAATATGTGGAATAAAATGGAGATAGATTTATCGGGAATACGTTGACGAGGCCGTCGAATGACATTGTGAGCAGTTCAGGCCATCTCTAGAGTGTAAACCGATCGGGAAACGCAACAGTGGGTTGTCCTAGAGTGATAACGGGGAGATGGTGTCTGTCTGTCTGTTTTCGACATAGAACTTTGCACAAATGTGCGGAAGTTCAAGTCGCCACATTCCATGTAGCACGCGAAGCAAGAGAAGAAAGTACAAGAAAAGCATAATAGAAACAGTGAGCAGAGGTGTGAGACAAAGGAGTAATAAAGAAATACAAAACAGTTTCATTGAAGATCATAAGTCACAGGGAGTGGATGCATCTGCGCCACTGAGAACGGCTTTGAGCCATGTCACCAATTGTTTCCAACCATTGGTTTTTACCGTCCCGAGGACCCCAGCCTGGAAGTCTACACCTTTCTACGTGGCTTAGACCAACTGTTGTGGATTTCATTGACTGGTGCCAAGTTTTTGTTTGACCGCCGCTAGCTTTTTTCCAGCCTGACCCTATATCCGCTAACATTGCTCGTCGAGGGAGGCGATGGCTTGGCATACGTAACACATGTCCTAACCATCTCAGTCGATGTAACTTCACGACGTCGTCGATTGATTTCCCCTGTTTACCTAGAACTCTACGCCTAACCTCCATGTTGCTCACCTTATGATGCCACTTTACACGGGAAATAGAACGCAGGCACCTATGATCAAACACAGCTAGTCTTTTCATGTCTTCCACTCTCAGTGGCCAGGTCTCACAACCATAAAGGAGGACGGAGCGGACTGATGAGCAGTACACCCGCCCTTTGGTCGATAGTCGAACATCTCGTCTACGCCAGAGTCGGTGTAAACTAACAAATGCGAAACGAGCCCCTTGTATTCGTGCTGAGATTTCGTCAGAGATCAGCCCGTTGGGGCTGATGGTACTTCCCAAATAAGTGAAGCGGTCAACGTGCTCTACCACTTCACTTCCTATTTTTAAACTAGGCGTCGATGTAGTCCAGTCCTGTAACATCATCTTGCATTTGGCGGGAGCGAATCGCATGCCAAACATTCGTAGATTGCTGCTCAAGGTGTTTAGAAGACTCTGCATTTCGTCAGCGTCTTCGCCTAGAAGGAATATATCGTCTGCATATTCCAAGTCAACGAGATTATTCCCGGTAGCAAGTCAATTCCTGAGTCACTGAAGTCACCTAGGGTTAAGTCCATTAACACATCTATGATGAAGTTGAATAGAAAAGGAGATAATGGGCATCCTTGACGGACACCACTGGTCGTCATCAGTTCAGATGACAGCTCGCCGTAAGCCCTCACCTGGCTGTATGAGTACGAATAGAGTGCCTTAATCAGTGCAATATATTTTCTTGGAATTCCCTTTACAGCCAAGCACCTCCAGAGAACTTCCCGATCGACAGAGTCGAATGCTGCCTTTAGGTCAAGAAATATAATGACTGTTGGACGCCGGTAGGAATGCCTATGTTCTAGAATCTGCTGAAGAGGATAACAGAGAGTAGAGCAAAGTTGAGATGTGTTGCTGAAACCGTATGTTCCACTCGAAACCCAAGGGAACAATAATAATATGTGATATAGTGGGAAGTCAATCGCACTACTTATTATGCATCTATAATTTGTCTTCTACGCAGCATTGTTTATTGTGTTAAATGTCACCATTCTCTTCATCTATTCCTATGGCTATCCTATTACTTTCTACAGTCGCTGACACCAGTATTTATATTCCCACCAAGTGTACTTTAGTAGGGCATTTCGCTCTGACATGCTCTACACAATTATCCTAGGTGAATTTGCCCACTTCTTTGCAGTGGATATGGCAGCATGTGTTCTAAAGTATAAAATAAATCATGAAACAGCTTTCCATTACTTACTAATCTCCTTTTCCAATTTCAACTCGTTTTTCATCAAAATGCTCTCTGGTATCACTTTGCTTATAAAGTCCTCCATTTTCTGAGGGGAGTAAAGAAAATTTACAGGCAAAGAACTGGTGAAAACATGATGTATCCCGAGAAAATCAAAACATAAAGAATTGTGTAAAATGCACAGATAACTTTGACATTCACAGATGGCTTATACTGAAGCTACTATATTACTGTGGCAAATCGTTTAAGTCAGAAAACTAATGGAATATATCTCAATAAACGAAAAGGATGTACTAAAAATGAAATGAATATCAGTAGTGTTTTTCATATATCCCCATGAGATTAAAATACGATACATCTATTTAACTGTCATTGGTCATACTTCATCTTGCCGGTGGTTTGCAGCCATCAATCCTGAACATTTACACTATTACCTGGTGATTACTTTAGGTAGTGTATGTCAAATTCTATCCAAAATCTGCCCAGTGAGTAGTACTAGATACGGTGACTCATATTGCTCTCAAGTGATTTTTCAAAGTACACTATCTACTTTTTTATGCGACTAATCACAGTTTAAATAGTTCTGCGCTAATATATCCTTCCGCCACCCTGAACCACTAGTTGATACAGTTCGAGCCTGTCGGACAGCATTTGTTTACTCCCTAATGCAGATAAACTATATCGATAAATACCAACAGGCGTGTAGTATAGCCTCAGAACACACTGACTTCAACCATCCAAACATGGTCAGAGATTTACCACTTGGCTTAAGCAACGCTTATGACCAAACAAAAAAATTGATTTTCAGGTGTTGGTTTGTAGGGATTTGATTGGTTACAGGATGTCATCATGAGCTGACATTAGTTAGAGAACCATTGGAAAACCTAGGAGTACTGGACAGCTGTTTCGTCCTAGTTTGATACCAGAAGGTCCTGGGTTCGAATCCCAATGTGTGCGTACTGCTGAAGAGTCCCAAACTAGGACGAAATAGCTGTCCAATACTCCCAGGTTTTCCAATGGTTCTCTAACCAATGTCAGCTCATGATGAAATCCTGTAACCAAAAAAAAACTGATTACTAATCAGTATGTTTTTTAAGAATCTGTAGCTAAGGTTGATTAAAGTCGTGTATATATCGGTAGCTTTTTGAATTTCGACATATTCCAACGAACGACTTCCCTGAATATGACACTAAGTTAACCCTTCATTGTTTAATTAGAAAAAGGATCAACTACACATTATATTTCTTCACTTAGAATTCAGTGAAAGTCTATCTTTTTTAACTAGAGGTGTATTCATACCTAGAAATCACTTAATATATATTGACTAAACTGTGTATAACAAAACGTATTTGATTTTTTCACTAACGTGAATATAATCCGTAAACGCTTAGCTCTCACCACCAAATCAGTTTAACACCAGTGAGAAAGGCATACGGACATTTTTAACACAGAAAATAAAGTAACTTTGACGGCTATTCGAGTTACCAAACCTTATATAATCACTTCCATTAGGTCACAGTAAAACAGACATAGAAATCAGAAGTATGCTGTCGCAAAACTGCTTCAAAGAAGATAATATAATAAAAGTAGTGTGACATTTCAATAATAAGTTTTGTTACCTAAGATTTTCGCTATACCCTTGTAAGGTTGAAACCAACAGTCAGCGACATCACTGATTCGTATCGCATCATTGTGTGGATAACTCTTAGACTACTTATAACCCTATTGCCATGTTTACTCACCCAGTAAGAAGGGAGTTGGCATATGGTAATTTTCACAGTCGATACCAATCATCTGAATTCCACCACATTGTTCAGATGATCATTCCACTTACCACTGGGACAGTTTTTGGGACAGTAATGGTTGTGGATATGTCTCCTAGCCAGACTAAGACAGATAAAACTGGTGAATACTGCAATTAACTTATAATGAGCAAATAAATATCTCAGCTAAATCAAAAATAAGGCAATATAGTAAAAGCTGAATGAGTCTTTTTTTATCTCTTCTAGGTTGACCACCAAACCAAGGTAACCCAACAAGTTAAATGAACTTTCTCTCTAAAATCCAATTTTTGTATATTTGATAGATTGGAGACGTGTGAATAAGCTAAAGCAACTCAGAGATGTGCCAATTAAATTCATCGTCATGAGAATAACTCCTACGAATTTTGACAAATAAGAAGTTAACATGTGTAAGCGTGACATAGGAAAAAACAAATAGATGATACATACTACTGATTGGTTGAAATGAGTAGTTGGAAACCATTCATAACGAAGAGTAGTGTTTGCTATCCAGCCAGAAGTGATATAAACACCAGACGGCAGTTTCGCCAGTTTGCGGTCAAGCTTATCAATGGCGTGCCCAGTTAGACCAGCTACTAGAGACAACTGGATGTTTTTAACTGATTCAGCCATCTGAACTGAGTCTAAGCGAATACACCGCTGATGACCTTAGTCTCATAAAAGTAAACTGGACCTTCAGTGCCTAAATCAATTCCATCTGGTTGGCAAGCAGTCGTGATTAACATGAGTGGTCTTAAGCTTGTAATATCAATCAACCAGCAGCATATAGTTCCCCTTATTTCCACAGCTTTCTTGGATGCTATTGATGGTGCCAGGTAGACCGCATATTATGTATAACGTGTATATTTTTGGTTTCCAAAAGAAATTGTGGTGAAAGGAAGAAATAGCCTTTTGACTGGAAAATGCAATGGTTATAGTGTTCTTATTCTTTAACCATACAATTTACGTAACTCCGGTAATAAAACTGAGAGGTAGATGATTAAAATCCAGGTTTGTTTGATTCGCCTCTAAAACAAGTTCGAATTGATGATATTAGATGGTTGAAGGCAATCGGCCACAGGAAGCCTTGCACCTAGGTTTCGTGCTAGCTGGCACTCACCAGTCAGCAAGGCGTATCTGCAACCTTGAAGGAAATCATATCTTTTCTGAGATTCGAACCTGCGTCACCCAGTGCTGCAGTCAGAAACGTTACCACTGAGCTATTCGGGCTTGCGATTGACCTCCTGTAGGACTGTAATGGGCAATCTGATTTAAACTCATTTTTACAATATTTATGCACTAATTTTAAAAAGAAATCCACAGTTAAACTTAGCTAGATATTATTCATTCTTCCTGATAGGAGTCTTTGAAGAAACTCTCCTCAAATGATTACCCTGTCCATCGGTAAGCAAGAGGGATTTCACTAAGATTATATCCTTATATAATCTTGAAGATTCCAGGTTAAGTGCACTATCAATCTTTTTAATATCCATAGCCTCACGTTTTCTGATAAGCGTATTTAAATGACTTCAGCGGTGAAAAATAATTTAGTCGAAACAGTTCAGTCAGCTGATTTATAGTTTGTGTAAATGCAGTTAAATAAAGTTCACGTTAATTTGCTAACACGTTCGTACTGTGTAACAAGTAGATGGTTTTAATTAGTTTGCATTCATGTGAATTAAAGTAGCTACGATTTTTAGATATCTAATATCACGTGTTCAACTTCTACCAGTAAACGAAATTTATGTACGAAAACCATTTCACTACTGAGAACTAAATTCATGGTCCTATGGATCTTACCCTTTCAAAAATTTAGTGTAATTTTTTAAGTTTCTCTTTATTGTTTTTTTTCGATTAAGAGTGATTCAGTCTGTATTGACTAAACTAACGAGTACTCGAAAATTCACACATGGGATGAATGTAATCTGGCTACAAGTCTTTGCATTTCAGTGTAGATTCTATATCTGCCTTTCTTAATCTCAACATATATCGTTTATCAGCACTGACTTTGTTCACTTCCACTAAAGGTAACAAATTACTAAAAGAATTACTATATTTTGTACTACAGATGTTTGCGATTTAATAAGTGATTAATCCGGTAATAACACCTTGGAAAGTTGTACAGAACAGCAGAGAAAAAAAATATATTGAACAAAGGTACATTGGAAGAAGAACAATCACATGAAGACTAGGCAAGATTTTCAGAATCTCAGTAATTACAAGAAATGAATATATCTACATCAATGCGACCGACTTAGAAGTGTTTCACTGACATTCTCCAATCTTAGCATGTCTAACACCTACTTTTGTGGTTCAGACCAATAATTAAAGACTTCATAGGTGTCGATACCGTGTTTCTGTCTAACTGCCTATAACTCTTTATTAGTTTAATCCTATTTGAACTAACATTGCTCTATGGTCAAGGCGATAGTTCTGTTTGAGTAAAACATGTCTCTCCCCCAGTTTCAAATTATGTGGCTCGATTGAACGGTTAATTCACAAAAGTGAATCCACTAGTTTATGCTGTTTAAAACACTCTGTTTTGTCTTAAAAATTATTTATTATTGAAGAAAAATAACTTAGCAGCACACTTATTGTAGATATACTTTGACATATATTACCAGACAGTAAAAAGAACCAAAGGGGGAACTAAAGCAGCGAAACACTACACAACTAAATCTTACTCATTTCGTATCTGTGTACATATAATCCAACAGTATGAACTAACCGTTGAGTGGATAGGGAGTAGTTGTAACCTGCTTCAAAATATCAATTTTGCGTTCTTTTAGCATTGGAAAAACAGGTAGACAGAAACAAGTTTACAGACTTAGAAGACCACTGAACAAACTACAGACCGAGTTCAACAGATAGTTTTTGATGATTCACATCTGATAAACTTTAGATAATATTTACTCTTCATCTGATTCTCTGTGTACCAGGTTAAGCTTATGGATCCATGGTTGTAGACAGTGTTACAGTATAAATATATTAGCAATCTCTGAGAGATAATTCAAAGTGGACTGTGTGATTCACATTATGCTGCAATTCTGAACCAATATGATCAACAACCCAATGACCTGACTGAAACACGGGTAACTGTCTTTTCAGCAGACATAAATGTCTCTCACTCATATGTCTTTCTTTGTGCAACGAATGAAACTCTGAGGTTCAGTAAACCTTGATTCTTGTTTCCTTATCATTCCTCACCTTAATTATCCAACTGGCACTAATCGCTTATCAGTGTTTCGACAGATTTAAACTTGATACCTCTAATTAATTTTCAAGTATTGGTTTTGTAGGGATTTTT